TGCCCATCCCTCCACCAGTGCCCGTCATTCATCACCACGGGTCCCAGCATCCCCCCCCCATCCCCCCCTCCCATCCTGCCTCTGTGGCAGGGTATTCCCCCTTGTTCTCTCTCTCTTCTTTTGGGTACTGTGTTTTGCAAGAGAGGCTTGGAGGTTGTGATTTTGTCACTCCACTTTTTAGAGGAAGAAGAAAAGTTCGGTGTCTAGTGCAAGGCCCAAGGCTGGGAGTTAATAATGGCGAATCAGGGCGCTGGAGCAATAGCACAGAGGGTAGGGCGTTTGCCTTGCAGGCGGCTGACCCGGGTTTGATTCCCAGCATCCCATATGGTCCCCTCGAGCACCGCCAAGAGTAATTCCTGAGTGCATGAGCCAGGAATAACCCCTGTGCATTGCCGGGTGTGACCCAAAAAGAAAAAAGAAAAGAAAAAGATGGGCGTTCTTGGTTGTGTGTGTGGTGTTGGGATCGAACCCAGGTCCGTACACACACACACACACACACACACACACACACACACACACAAATGTGTTCTACCGGTGAGTTGCATCCCCAGACAAGACATTCTTGCTCCTAGAAAGTTCATGTCCTCATGAGGAAGGCAATGAATGCGTTAAACAAATCACCAAAGGGGTTTGTGGACGGCTCCCAGGTCTGTGTCTCAGCCCTGTCCTCAAAGCCTGGCTCTTGCTCGGCGGTCCTCACCCTCCAGTGGGGACCCACATCCTCCCCAACGAGGGGGCTGGCTCCAGCCTCATCTGCATTGAACACCCTTGCTTGGGCCACGGCCGAGAATCCTCAACAGACTCGTATTAAAAATGCCCTTTAAAATTCAAACGCTTTGAACTCCAGAAATACCGTGAGAAGTTTTCATGGAAAGTTCAGCTCCACCGGTTCAATTCACCACACTTAGAGGCACCTTTTCAAATAATAGGGAAAAAGTGTAACAGGGTCAGGCCCAATCAATATGCTTGTTCAAACAGAATTGCGGGGACTGTGATGTGTGCACATTTTGTACTCTGCCTTTGTACGCACCACACGCTCTGAAGAAAGGTTGCTTTGCTGGGAGAGCAATGAAAGTGGGAGCCTTTGGAGTGCGGGCGGCAAAGCACTGGCGTGTTTACGGGCGGGGGTGGGGGGCTGTCGTTGCTTCACAGCCCCCTCTGGCCTCTTCTCTTTGTTCTTTTCATAACAGTCAAACACGTGGCGGAGTTCCTAGCCCAGGCAGAGGCTGAGCCAGAGGCAGAGGGCTCAGTTTCTCCTGCCAGCTCTCAGAATTGTCATCTATGCATTAGACCGGCGTTTCTCAACCGGGGACTGAATGTGTCCCCTGGGAACCCCCTCCTTTCTCCCCCACCAAACAGAGCACTGCAAAAGGGTCACAGGTGAAAACTGCATTGATGGCGGTGGGAGAACATCAGGAGACTAGGGGACCCGGAGGTGGGATGGGGGTGGGATGGAAACAAGGTCGGGGGTATAAAAGGCTGAGACATTGTTGCAGCAGACACACTGCATGCTTTTTTTTTTCAACAAACAAATAAGTTTAATTAAAATTCACTCTGTGACATATTTTTTCAAAGTTTCAGAACCTGCCCCCCCCCCCCCAATCCATGAACCATGATAGGTTCCCTCAAGGCCTCGGCCAGAGCCTGGGGCACGGGGACAGTTCAAACCAGGTCCAGGGCCTGTACAGCTGCTGCGGAGCAAGGGGTCACCCGGGACAGTTCCAAGAGACCCCAGGAACGAGGACTGGACTGTCAGAGGAGTTCCAACACTTCGATGGAATATAACTCTCTACTAATTTTTTCTTGATTTGATTTCTGAAGTTCACAAAAACTTCACTGCGATCTTGTTGAGGTCACAGCAAATGCATACCTGGGATTTCACAAACTCCACAACTGCAGCAGGCAGGTGCTGCATCTTTCCCACCCTCCGTGAGGACACAGAAGGACTGACTAGGAGGTCAGTACAGCGGCCGGGGCATGCTGAAAGCCCCACATGCGCTCTGGTTGAGCTTAGCCCCCTCTTCCCCAGCTCCACCACCTACAAGCTGAGGATTCCCTGACCCTGAGCTGTGGCCAATAGCCAGGAGAATTGCGGAGAACCCAGATTAGCCAAAGGCCACTCAAGGGCTAGAGGGTGGGGAAGGGGGAAAGGCTAGTCAGTGAGCCACCCAGTCAGAGGCAAGGCCAGAAATTAGTGAGCAAATAGAAACGAAGTGTGTGTGTGTGTATGTGTGTGGTCTATACATCTTTTTTTGGAGGGTGGGGTCACACCCAGCGATGCACAGCGGTTACTCCTGGCTCATGCACTCAGGAATTACTCCTGGTGATGCTCAGGGATGCTGGGAATCGAACACAGGTTGGCCACAGGCAAGGCAAACGCCCCACCCGTGGGCTATTGCTCCAGCCCCGGGTCTACACATCTCAGCACATTTGCCCACTGAGTCCACTGAAGCCTACACAATAGAGATTTTACTTTTTACACACTTGATGGACTTTAGCCAGGCCTTGTTCATGCTGAGAATCCAGGCAACAAGGGGCGGGGGGCTGAAGTGAGGATCAGGAAAGCCCATTTCATTCTAGATCCCAAAACCATCCTGTTAGTTCTTGCTAATAGAATGAGACAGAAGGGCCGGAAACATAAGTGGGAGAGCACAGGACTGGCCGGTGTGAGGCCCTGAGTTCTTGTCCTTGGGATCAGCTGGCCCTCCAGGCAATGTCGGGCTTCTCTGGTAGCTCCTTGAGCACTGGACCTTCAGGCATGCACAGTATCACGGGAGAGGTACTGAGTCCCTCAATACTGGCAACTGTGGTCCCTGTTTAAAATTTAAGAAACAAACTGGGAAGGGCTCACGTGTTGTGAAGGTGGAAACCTGGAACATGAGGAGTGTCCAAATGCCTTCTGCGCAGGACTGTGTCTGCGGGTGCGTGTGTCTGTGCCTGTATGTGCCTGTGTCTGTGTGCATGTGCGTTTGTGCCTGTACGGGCATGAGCCTGTGTGCGTGTGTGTATGCATGTATCTGTGTGTCCACGTGTATATGTCTGTGTCTATGACTGCATGTCTACATATCCATGTGTATGTCTGCATGTGTCTATGTGTGAGTTTATGTGTATGTGTCTCTGCATGTGTGCACGTCTATGTGTCTCTGTGTGTACATGTCTTCATGTACATGTCTTCATGAACATGTCTTGTGCAAGTTCATGTGTCCACCTGTATGTCTGTGTGTGCATGTTTGTGGGTGCATCTGTGGCGTGTCTGGGTACATTGTGTCTATATGTGCGTGTGTCTGTGGGTGTGTGTCTACCGTGTGTCTAGGAGCATGTGTGCATGACTGTGAGTGTCTTTGCCAGCTTCTGTGACAGAGACAGCATGGAAACAAGGAAACCACCACACACTTTCAGATGAGGTCTCCAAAGAGCTGCACGGCATGGGACCCCCCTCCATACCCCTTTTGACTTTTATTTTGATGTTTCCGCCTTTGTGTTTCGTTATAGAGGATCTGTCCTCTTCTCTCATCTATTCTGGGGATAATTTCCAAATCACGCCTTTATAAAAGCAGGGGACTGGTTTTTATTTTCACATTCAAAAAGAGATCAGTGGGAAAATGAGCAACTATGTCCCCTGTGGAAAGAGACTTGGCATCTACTTTCCCCAGTTGAAATCGTTGGAAAAGTCACATGAAACCTTGGGTGCTCTTCTTGGCAACAGAAAAAAAAATGAGAAAAACCAAATGGCTGTTAACAACAAACTGGAAAAGAGCCGTAGCCCTGCTCTGAGTGGGCTCTGATCTCTGGGCTCAAGCATCGGTCAGTCAGAATGAATCCAACACGCAGAGCCATCACTACCCCACCCCACTAGAAGGGGGCCTGGGGGCCCCCTCCTGTGAAACCAGCCTCCCGCGGTGTCCACAGCCCCTAACAGGTGCGGCCTCCAGTCCCAATGCCCCCAGCAGCTGCAGGGGCCCAACACAACCCTCTTCCCTCCACCCCTCAAAGCCAATCAGAAGTCAAGGAAAAATGCCATCATGAGAAACACAGGTGAACACAGGCAGACTCAAGATCTAACAATGGGAATTTTCGAGAGAACTGGAAAAGCAAACTCACACAGGCCCCTCGTGAGACCACAGCCATCAGGAAGCAGATTAGGTTGATACTTTAATCTGTACATCATTTTTTTTTTTGCAAACCATTACATTTTTATTTAAATTAATTTTTTTCTTGCAAAATATTCATTTTTCCCCCCAACAAAATCTTATAAAGGCAAAAATAAAATCTTATTTTGGCAAATGTCACAAAGTTGATACTGGCAGCATATGGAGTTAGTTAAAAATAGACAGCAACTTCTAAATATAGTCAAGACTCTCTGACCACACGCAAAGACAAAGTTTCATTGAAAGTGGGGCCCCGCCCAATCTTTTTTTTTTCTTGTCTTTCCCTTGGAAGCGTCATCCCCAGTCAGTAGACACTCAGGAGCTCGGGATGGTGCTGCTGCTGCCTCGGCTTGGCAGCCCTCAGGGCACCTCGGGCTGGAGCTCATGGCCGGGCGTTCACACGGTGGGCATCTCCCACCTGCCTCCTCCACTGCACCTGTGTCCTGGGGGGCAGATGGGGGTCCCCAGGATTGGCAGCTGGAGTCCTTGGATCCTTCTCCCAACCTGGCTGGCCACTGGGAAATTTCAGGGAGAAGCCACCCGGAGTGGAGTTTATTGCTTAAAGATACAATAAAAGGTGCTTCCTCACCTTTTCTGTTTCAAGGAATATTTTAAGAATTAAAGCCAACTGCTTCCTCCTTGACGAGGAGAGCCCTTTGCTGAGAGGAGCAGGTTGGGGCATCAAAGTTCTGGAGCTGAAGGCAGCCCCTCAACCCAGCCCCTTGTCCCATGGCACAGGATCTCCCTGCACCACGCCACCAACTGCAGCCAGAGACTGATGCCTGAAGCTGGTGGGGGGCGGGGAGGGATGGACGGGGTCCCCCAGGCTGGTGCCCAACCCTGCCTGCCCACCCGCCCGTCGGGGCACACTATCCAACCCCGATGGTGGGTCCCTCTCCTCCCCTTCCCTACCTGCCACCCAAAGGGTCCCTGAATCCGGATGTGTGGCTCCCCATGCCCGCATCCTTCCCAGCCACTCAGCCCTTGAGGTCAACGTGATAAAATAGATTCTGATTTCTAAAATACAGTGTCAGTATTTTACAGCATGTATCAAAAGTGCCTTGGTCATAGGTAAAAAGGAATCTGCACTAAAACAAGTCTTTCTTTTTCCCACGGGGGGGGGAGTAAGGGGAGGGGGCATTGTGTCGGGACGTGGCCCCTCTGGCGAGGACCCTGCGGCTGGCAGCCTGCTCTGTCTCCTCTGCACCCCGGCTTCGGCTGTCTCCTCGGCACACGGGCTCACGGGTCAGTGGTTGCCTGGGCTGGCAAAGAGCAGAGGGACAATGAGAGGCGGTAGAGGCTTGCCCACCCGGGGGGGCGGGGCAGGCGACGGGCACACACACGGGCACAGGTGTACGCAGGGAGGTGCGGGCTGGCGGCTGAGTAGCAGAGCAGGGGGCAGGGGCAAGGCGGCCGCTGCGGGGGGCACCCTCGGCTTGCGGGGGACTTCATGGGCATTGGGCTCCAGCCTGCCTCCACTCCTCCCACTTCTAGAAAATTCTCCCCCCCCCCAGCCCCTCCTGGACCCTTAGCTTGGGTCCTTGCTCTGACAGCACCCAAGGCTTGAGCAAAGCGGATCCTGGGGTCGTCTCTCCGCCTTTGTGGGGCGCTCACAGCCATCTAGGGAGGTTGAGGGCAGCGAGCCCGGCTGGGACAGAGAGGGCCTCTCACAGTCACGCAGGGCGGGACGCACTAAGCTCTCCCTCTGCTGGTCACCAGCTCAGGCCGTGGGGACAGACTGATCCCCCGGGGCCCCTGCCCGAGCATTTTCCTGAACTTCTGGCCCTCCAGGGCTTACTGGCTCTTTTCCTCTTCCTGGATCTTCTGGCTCTGGGTGCCGCAGGACAGACTCTGTTGAGTGCTCACACCCAAGTGCTCATGCAAAGGCCTTGAGTGCCCAGGGCAGGGCCCGGAGGAGTCCAAAGGGGCAGGCACATGGATCCAGGCTCGGCTGACACACCCTAGAGGTTTGGTGCCCAGTTCTGACATGGATAGCCACAACCCTCCTCCCCGCCCGAGGTCTTGGAGTTTGGTTTCCTCGTCTGTGAAAAGGGGGTGAGGATCCCCTGGAGAGGCCTGTTGGACCCCCAGGAAATGCTAGTGCATTGCAGGCAAACAAGGGGCGCCCCTGAGGCCAACAGGGCCTCCGTGAGGCGCACTAGGAGACAGTCGGTGGGAACTGGGGGGCAGCTTGATTCCTGCTCTGACTCTCCCATTCCAGGGGAGCAACTGGACTTGGCAGCAACCAGCCAGGGACCCGCAGGGCTCTCATCTCTGAGCTCCCCCACCTCTGGGTACCCCCACAGCACCCCTCACCCCCCACCTCAGTGACAGTCCCCAGGGCCGTCCCAGTCCTGGCTCTGACACCTCTTCCGTGTGACGTGGAGGGAACTCTCCATTCCCGCCTGGTGCCTCAGTTTCTGCAGCTGTGTGTGGGACCGAGACATCCCCGGACTTTGGTTCCTTCACTTCCTGAACCCAAGTGCTCTGAGCTGAGACCTGGCCCTTCCTGTGCTCCCTCCCGCTGCTGGGCCAGCCCTGCGTGGCTCTCTGGGGCCGGGGAAGTTACGCAGACTGGAGGGTCCGAGTCTCTGTGATTCCAGGGGGACCCTGGACTACCACGCCCCCCCAGCCAAACCCCTGCACCCCTTCTCTATTAGGCCCGAGCCCCTGAGACCGAGCTCCTGCCTGCTCCCTTCCAGGGGTGGGGGTGGGGGCCCAGCGGCCGCTTTGCCCAGGAAGGAAGCGTCAGCGGGGGGCGGCACTGCAATGGGTGGGGGGTCATGCTCGGCACTAGGGGGCCACGCCAGGCAGAGCTCTTACTTGCAGGTGTTAGACAAAGGTGTAGTGAAGTCCGTTGCTTAAAGGGGGGTAGGGCGGCACCGTCCTGGAGGACAGGGCGGCTTTAGGCAGCTGCTTCGCTGGATGGACACAGGGACCAAGAGCGTTAGGCCCCGCGGCCGCGCCTGCAGCAGTGCCAGGGCCGGGAGGGAGGTGCCGCCACGAGGGGCTGGGGGACCCAGTCACCAAGGGCGGGCTGAGGGCCCGCGTGTCCCAGGCCGGTCTCCGGTGCGAACGGGAGTGGGGAGACCCCGCGGCTGCCCTCGTGCGGGTGTGGGGGGACGTGGGGGGCTGCCGAGGAAGAGGGAGCGTCCGTACAGAGCAAGCACAGGCCGGAGAGGAGGAGGCGCGTGAGGGTGGGGAGCAGCCCTGCCGGGACCCCCCACCTGGTAGGGAGGGGAGAGGGAGCCCCCATCACCAGGAGGAGGTCAGTGTGTGTGTGTGTGTGTGTGTGTGTGTGTGTGCACGCGCAAGGGCTGCCCAAAGTTGCCCAGAACACCGCGCAGGCGCGAGGCTGGGGGAGGTGGGGGGAAGGGCAGACTCCCGTGAGACCCCAGCCCCGTCCTCACGCATCCAGAGATGAGAGGCAGCTGGAGTCCCTGCACCAGGTTCCCCCGGGGGGCTCCACCCTGGGCTCTCTAGGCCCTGGGGTCAGACCCTATGGGAGGCCGAGAGCAGCTGCGGCCCAGGGAAGGCTCTGCCTCAGGGAGGCCCGACCTCTACCCCTCCCGGACCCCCAGCACTGGCCAGCCTGAGGAGGAGGCTGGGGACTTTGATCCGGGGACCTAAGCAAAGGGGGGACCCAGGGTCTCGCCCAGTTCCCGTTTCCTGCCCCTTTCCCGGGCACCCGCTGGCTCCCTCTGCCACCCCGTCCAGGACCGAAGGGCCCCGGGCCTCCCCACCCCACGCCGCGCCGCTTACCTGCCACCTGCTTGCTGCGCTGCGAGGCCTCGGAGGCCAGCGCGTAGGAGATGTTGATGATGCGCTCCTGCTCCTGCAGCTGCGAGCCCACGTCCGTCAAGCTGCTGCGGTCCTGGGCGGCCGCGGGCTGCAGGCTGCCCACGCTGCAGGGAGAGCCAGAGCGGGGCTGGGCACGCTCCCCGGGGAGGAGGAGGAGGACCCCGCTGCCCCTAACCACTGCCGGGTGGGCCTGACCTGCCCCTAGCCACTGCTGGGTGGGCCTGAACTGGCCCCTAACGACGGCCAGGTGGGCCCGACTTGCCCCCTAACGACGGCCAGGTGGGCCCCCTCTCGAACTCAGCTGACTTCAAGAGCGCAGCTTGTGCCAGGGGTGGTCTACATCCCTATCACTCCCGAGGGGCCGAGGGGTGCAGAAAGGCCCAGCCGACAGCCAGAGAGCCCGGTGGAGGCCTGTGCCCCCCTTTCCCCACTCCCAGCCCACCCCCTACGGGCTTCTCTCCGACTGTGATCATGCCCCTCTCCCCCACTGGCCCCCAAGAATGCCGTGGGGCTTCCAGGCTGAGCTGCCGACCATAGGCGGGTGGGTACCAGCCTGCCCTTCCCAGGGGCAGAGCAGAGCTGAGATGGGGGGGGGGGCGGGGAACAGTCTGCCCTGGACCCTGTCCCTTCCCGCACCCCTGGGGAGGCCTGCGCCAACCCACCTGGACCGGGCCAGGATGTTGCGGATCTTCTCAGCTTTCCGGTACCGCGCCTGCAGCTCCTCCAGGCTGAGCGGCTCCTCGGGGTCCAGGTCCACATAGCGCTCAGGGATGGGGACCTTCTCGGGCTTGGACAGCTGCGCAGGGGAGAGGGCGGTACGGGTGGGGATCAGAGGCGTGTGGGGAAAAGGGCAGGGGGATGCTGCCCCCGTACCAACCCCTTTCACAGGGGGTTGCAGACAGGCGCCAACAGCCAAGGGACTGGCTCAGCCACGACCCGGTGACTCCAAAGTCCCTTCCGTCCTGCCCCTCCCCAGCTGTATCCCACAGCAGAGCAGGCAGGGGCTGCTATGGGGTCGGACCTCACCCTGACCCCTCTCAGGCAGCCCCCAGAGCAACGGTTTGGGCTGGGGACGCCTCCAAGCACAGAGGCTCCTGGTGGTCCTTCGGGTAGCCGTGCCCCCCTCCCCACCAGAAACCACAACTTTTCCGGCTCTGGGACCCCCAGGCTTGCCGAAGTCTCCTGGGTCAGGGAGGGTGAACCCCAAATAGAGAACTGCCGAGAACTTGCTTCCCTCTGCCCCACGGGCTTCCTGGCCTCCCCCCTTCCCTCCAGAAGCTTCCCTGATTCGCCCCCTCCTGCCCCTGCTGCCTCTCCACGGCCCAGTCCCCCTGGGATGGCGGGCGGTTGAGGGAAGGCTTTCTGGCAGGAGGAGGCTGGCTCAGTGCCTCCGCTGCTCCCTGCTAGGCGCCTGCCTGGCTCAGTGAAACCTCCTTGCCCGAGCTAAGGATGCCAAAGGCAACTCGTCCTTCCTAAACCATGACAGCTCTTTCAAATGGCTCAGCTGGGGCCAGAGGTACAGTGCACCTGTCTTGCACAAGGCTAACCGCAAACAATCCCTGGTAAGAGGGATCCCCAAGCACCACCGAGTATGACCCCACACCCCACTCCCTCGCCCCCCAAAATAGGGGGACAACTAGTAGGGGTAGTGGTGGTGGGGTTCAGTCACTGTACAAAAACAACTGTAATTGAACCGTACTGCAACCATGTTACCTAACCTACAATGAAAATAGAAAACTAGGGGCTTGAGAGAGAGCAAAGCAGGCAAGGCGCTTTCCTTTGCATGTGACTGATCCAGGTTCAATCCCCCGTATCCCATATGGCCCCTGGGGACCATCAGGAGAAATCCCTGAGCAATGTCAGGTATGGCCCCCAAACAAACAAAAAGGAACAAAAAAAAAAAAGGAAGAAGAAAAGAAGAAGAAGAAAAAAAAGCAGTTTTAAATGGGATTAGGTTGGAGGGATCGCTTAGGATGGGAGATGTGTGCTGTAACTGGATAAAGGCCCAAACACAAACATGATGATCTCTCATTATCTGTAATCTATATTGCAAACCATAATACCCATAAGGAGAGAGAGAGAGAGAGAGAGAGAGAGAGAGAGAGAGAGAGAGATAGAGAGAGAGAGAGGGAAACTGTCTGCCATAGAGGCAGGGGGAGTGGAGGGGCAATGGGGGGGATACTGGGGACATTGGTGGTGGAAAATGTACACTGGTGGAGGGATGGGTGTTTGATCATTGTATGACTGGAACTTAAACATGAAAGTTCTGGGGCTGGAGTGATAGCACAGTGGGTAGGGCATTTGCCTTGCACATGGCCAACCTGGGTTTGATTCCCAGCATCCCATATGGTCCCCTGAGCACCGCCAGGAGTAATTCCTGAGTGCAGAGCCAGGAGTAACCCCTGTGCATTGCCGGATGTGACCCAAAAAGCAAAAAAAAAAAAAAAGAAAGTTTTGTAACTGTAGCTCATGGTGATTCAATAAAAAATAAAAATAATTAAAAAATAAAAACATGAAACTTAAAAAAAATAAAATAGAAAAATAGAAAAAACAAAAAAAGACAAAAGCCACACCTAAACAAGAGTTAAAATTGATGATAGTGAAGCTCAAATATTAAAATAAGTAAGTACAAAAATAATTTTAGTGTGAAAATTATTATATCTGATCATGTGGTTGTTAAAAGTCTTGTCTAAGAATTTATTAAATTTTTATTGCCAAAAACAAGTGAGATTAGGGGCTGGAGTGCTAATACAGTGAATAGGGGGGTTTGCCTTGTACACAGCTGACCCAGGTTCGATTCCTGGTACCCCATATGGTCTCCCAAGACTCTCCAGGGGTGATCTCTGAGCTTGGAGCCCTGAGCACTGCCAGGTTTGGTCCAAAAAAAAACAAAACCAAAAAAAAAAAAGAAACAGGGTCAACTGAGGTTTCTAAAAAGCTTCATCTAATCCCGGCACAGGTCTGGAATAGAATTTAACCCCACTGCAATGCCCTTTCACTCGCAGGGAGAACGGCAAGAACCAGCTCTTCTCTGTTACCTCCCAGAAAAGCAGATCCGGGGAAGGAAGTGGAGGGCATTGTCGCGGGAGGGATTTAGGTTAGAGATAAGGAAGGACTGTCCCCCTGACTGCCAGACAACCGGGACAGGGAGACACACTTCCATTGTGGAGGGAAAGGTCTGAGCACAGGGGACTGGCCTCGTTAGTGCCCCAGCCCGAGTTAGCCCAGGTCTTGGAGACTCTGAGGGCACCCCCGAACCCCCGACCCTCAGAAATAAATATATTCTCCATATCATCAGGCCTGGGGGTGGGGTGGGGGAAGGGGTCCGGGTCCTTCTGCTCACATCTGCAGGACACTTGGGACCTTACTCGTCTTTACTCACAAATATCTAGAGTCTGCAAGCAGGCCACGTGCACAAAGCAGGACCAGATGGCCCGAGACGGCCATACAGTGCTTACAAACGGCTCCACCTGAAGCCTCTGTACCCGTCACCCCCTTGAGCGCCCTTGAGCAGATGCTGCTGTCCAGTTGGGCCTGTCCAGTCGTGCTGCATTTGCACCACCAGAGGGCGCCAGAAGAATTGCGATCAGAAACTGCTCTCTGCTCTGGCTGGATTTTTTTTTTTTCTTTTTGGGTCATACTCGGCAATGCATGGGGGTTACTCCTGGCTCTGCACTCAAGAATCACTCCTGGTGCTCAGGAGACCATATGGGATGCTGGGAATCGAACCCAGGTCGGCCGCGTGCAAGGCAAATGTCCTACCCTCTGGCTGGAACTTGTACCTTTCTGCCCTTCCCCAAATCCCGCTCCCCGCCCCCCCCACCCCCCCGCCCAGTCTCCCAGGGCATGCTTCCCAACAAAGCAGCCATCAACCCCACTCAATGCCTCCTCTGTGCGAGGTCCTGGACTTTCCCGACCACTGCTCATGCTCTTGGCAACATGCGGACTCACTGAGGCCTCAGCACAACCCTCCTCATCCCAGCAAACGAGACACAGAGAAGTGAAATGACTCAGGGGGGAGGAGGAGGAGGAGGAGGAGGAGGAGAGAGAGAGAGAGAGAGAGAGAGAGAGAGAGAGAGAGAGAGAGAAGCCTCCATCACGGACCCCATCCATACCTTCCCTGTTCAGGACATCCCCAGAGCATGGACCAGAAGGGGTTGATCAGACCAGGAGGCCCCCACAGCCCCCATGGCCTGGCCTCCCTGGGAGCAGGGCAGTGGAGAGACCTCAGCTGCCCTCACCTCTCTGCTGATGTCCAGGTCATAGTCCTGCGGCTCCAGGTCCAGCTCGGTGACGGGGACAGCGCGCACCTTCAGCCAGCCGTTCTCCTCCTGCTCCTTCCTGTCCCCTGGCACGGCCCGTTCCAGCAGCTGCAAGTCGAAGTCCTGCTCACGTTTCCACTGGCAACAGAGCAAGAGGGTGAGAGGCATCACTTTCTGAGCCAGTGGGACCCCACTGTCCCCTTGGGTGGTCATGCAGGGCTGGGCAGGGGCGGGGCTTTGGAAGGCTTCTCTGATGTGTCTCCCCAGCTCTAAAGCAAGGCGACCGGGAAAATGAAGGGCAGCGGGTGGCTTCATGGTGGAGCACTTGCCTTGCACGTGTGACGCCCCTGGGTTATCCCCGGCTCCCTGTGTCACCAAGAGCAAAACCCAGGCAGTCAAGGCGGAGCTCTGTGTGTGAGGGGCTCTAGGCCTTGTCAGGCTCCTCCCTGAGTCCTCGACTTCCACCTGGAAGTTTCTCCATGTGGCCCCAGAGCTGAGTCACTGAGTCACCACCCCCAGCAGTGCTCAGGGCTTACTCCTAGCTCTGTGCTCAAGGCTCTCTCCTGGAGGGGCTCGGGAGACCATCAGAGGGGTTGGGGGTCAACCCCAGTTGGCTGCTTGCATGTCAAGTACCTTCCCTGTTGTCCTATCACTCTGGTACACAACGTTAGACTCACATTGGCCTCCAGACCTATAAAAGGCTCCCAGGAGCAGGATGGTGAACCCTCTCCCCCCACCACACCTCCCCCCATCCCCCACACACAAGACAGAGCCCGGGCAGTGACCCTTAGAAGGGATTGCCCCCTTTGCAGGCCTCCTCCATATGTACCAGCTCAGAAATACTGAAAAACTAACAAGCCCCAGGGCTGGAGCGATAGCACAATGGGTAGGACGTTTGCCTTGCACGCGGCCAACCCCAGTTCAATCCTCAGCATCCCATATGGTCCCCCAAGCACCACCAGGAGTAATTCCTGAGTGCAGAGCCAGGAGTAACCCTGAGCATCACTGGGTGTGACCCAAAAAGCAAACCAAAACTAACAAGCTCCTTGAGGTCCAGATAAATGGAATAGTCAGGGGCAGGGCATGTTTGTGTTCTCTCTCTGGGGGTCCCAGGGATGAAACCCAGTGACATACAGGCTCACCCCTGAGCTTCAAACCCCACCCCAGGGCCTCCCTAATGGGGACCACGACAGGATACACTGAGGGACCCATACTGCAGAGGTCCCAGAAGACTTGGGGCCCGTGAGGAAGAGACATACCCAAGAACCACCACATCTATTTTTGGAAAGTGTCTTAAGTGACCAAAAAGAAGGGCTAACGATGGGGCTGGAAAGGTAGCACAGTGGGTAGGGTGTTTGCCTTGCATGTGGTCAACTAGGTTTGATCTCCTGCATCCCATATGGTCCCGCGAACACTGCCAGGAGTGACTGCTGAGTGCAGAGCCAGGAGTCACCCCTAGCATGGCTGGGTGTAGCCTCCAAACAAGGAAAAAAATCCCAAATGCAAAAGCATGGAAAGCAGAAAAGCTCCACCTGATCCAGTGTTTCCTGCTGCGGCCGAGTCTCGGCGTTGCGACCTGCTCTGCCTGCAGAGGAAACTGGGGCCCTGCGTGCCAAGCTAGTCTCTGTCAGGCGCAGGCTCAGAACCCAGCAGAAATCCTTCAGGGGCTTCTCCCTCTCAGGCCGCCAAATGTCAGGGATCCCCCAGGTCAGGATGTGGGCTCATGACCCCCACAAGGCCCCGAGAGCCCACCCCACCCATCACCCTCTCCGAACACTCCACCCATTCATGCACAAGCTCTCGATGCAGACTCCAACCCAGCCTCTCAAGGGAGGGTTTCCCCAGGGAACGAGGGAAGGATCTGACAGCTGGAGTTTCCGGGATGAAAAATGAATTAAGGGATTTACAATTTTTTCTTTTTCTTACACGCTCACAGGTGCCCCCCACAGAGAGACCCTCCTCACTTAAACCCAGCCTGATTTGTTCCCACACGCGAAGAAAGTTCGCTATCCTGGGGAAGAACCACGCCAATCCATCGTCCTTAAGCAATATGTTTATTGGCGCCGCTGTAGACTCATTACAAGGTATTCCAGGGACATTTTGGCTCGTCTTTCTTCATTCGATACACTGGGTAGGAGAGGTCAGAGTTACCCCCGTGGTACATTTAGCTTATAAGGTTTAAAAGTCATGAGCTTTGCAGCTTCTCGGGATTTGAGTGTCTTGGGTCTGACTCCTTTGATGCAGATAGAACATGGAATATCCTGCTATCCACTCCAGCTATGAAATACCAGACACACACATGGTTTTCCTTGGGGACTGAGGCCCGAACCCCTGTGGACTTGGTAGCATCTGCTCACAGCTGCAAGCTCTGAAGCTGTGTCCAATGTCCAGGCCGGGGGCATGGATGTGGCTCAGTGCCTGGTGCCCGGTCCCTGCCGATGACCCTTGCCCTTACGCAGCTGGGGTGGGTGGGGAGGGGTCCGTGAATTATGAATCAGCAGGCTTGTCAGAGGGGGGAGGCAGAGAGCAGATGCACTCACATGTGGGGTCCCTCACTAGGCCCAGGGGACAGAGCTGACGGGACGCAGGCCCGGTCACCAAGAGCAAGGGCCAGTTAGCGAACGTTCAACACGAACCTGAGGCTTCTATTGACACAATCGGGCAGGGTTAGAGAGGGGCCGTGAGCAGTAATGCTCGAAGCAAAGGAGCTTGTGCAGTGAATGAGGGAGTGGACGGTCGGCCAAGGGTCTCGGCCAACTTGAGTTGCAGGAGCAGGGATGGATGAGTCAGAGTTCCTCCAAGGCGCCCGAGCCACTGTGGGCAGGGTGCATGTGCTGAGAGACACCACAAGGGGGCGGCAGAGCCCCAGGCTGGCCGGGTCCCTTGAAGCCTGCTGGCACCATCAATCAGCTGTAGCCAACCTGCTGCCTCCACACAGAAGGCCCCTGAGACCAGGGAGGCTTGTGCTCCTCTCATCAAACCCCACCACCATCGTCCTCTTCCTCCTCTCCTTGAACTCCTGGAACTTCCCAAGTCCTCGACTCCACGTGGGTCTGCCCCAGGCCCCTATCACAAACTCAGCCCCAAGCACTGACTCCGGGCTTCCTCTCCAGCTCCATGCTCGCTCCCTCCGCGACCTCCTTGCTCCTTCTCTGCTTCCGGGTCACCCTCTAACCACAGCCCACATGGAGCCCACGTGCCGGGTGCATGGACACTCAGACACCCCCCGGGGGTGCCGCTCTGACCCATCGGGTCCTCCGGGGAAGCTCCGCGCCCTGTCCCAGCCCCACCTGCCTGGCCCCTCCTAACATACTGAGCCAAGATCTCCGGGCAGCGTGTGGCCGAGGTAGCGGGACGAGGGCGGTGGGCCCGGCCTCTCGCCCTGGCTCAGTGTCCTCTTGCGCTCTCGGACCAGCGCCTTCTGGTGCCGCTTCATGCGCTCCAGCTGCTCCTCGGCGCTCATCCTGCCCCGCTGGTGGTCCCCTGAGTACAGCCGCTCCAAGGCACTCTTGGGTCTCTAAGGGAGGGGGCGAACGTGAGAGGTGAGAGCAGCTGGGACGGGAGGCCAGCTACCCTACTGTGCTTTCTGGGATTCTCTCTCTCTCTCTCTCTCTCTCTCTCTCTCTCTCTCTCTCTCTCACACACACACACACACACACCATAATCCAAGACCTGTCAATACACAGATCCATAATCCAACACACACACACACACACACACACACACACACACACACACACACACAGGCAGACTAATGGCCACGGTGCCCCTGGCACTCACTGGCCTCTCCAGCGAGCTGGGAAGCTCCCTGCTTCAACATCTGAGACCCCGAGACCAAGGCCTGTCCACTCAGGAACCCAGGTAGCACGTGGCGGGGCAGAAACTGTGACTTCCTGGTACCCACTCTGGGCGGAGGCCCAGGAACAGAGTCAAGAAGAGTATGTGTGAATGGATGTGTGTGTGTGCATGTTTAAACATGTGTACATGTGTATGCATGTATGTGTGCATGGATGCTTTTGCAGGTTTCTATGTATATGCATGCATGTGCATATTTGTACACGTGATGCATGTGTATATGTATGCTTGTACATATATGATGCATGTGTGCACGCGTGTGTGCATACAGGGGTATGCAAGTTTGTGCATGTGTGTATACATGTGTGTGTGTGTGCACGCATGCATGTGTATGCATGTGTGTGTGTGTCTGCAAACTTCTTGGGTGGTGGGGAAGGCAATATTGAGCACCTGAGGGCCCAGCGCCCGGGCTCAGGACTGGTCCCCGACCAGTCCCTCCCTACTGTGGAGCCCCCACTTCACACACCACACCCGCCACTGTGCAAGGAGCTTACAGGGGTGGGGGCCCCCCCATGGCCACTCACAGGGAAGGTCATCTTGCTGCTGTCGGCACCGAGGCCCCTCCGCAGGGTCACGTAGGGCGCGATGGAGGATGACTGCTGCAGCTGTGAGGTGGACCCTGAGAGACCTGGGCAGGGAGAGGCGCATCTATGGGGGAGCAGCTCCAGAGCCTCCCTCCTCACCTCCTGTCGCCACGAGGGGCCCATGGGCCAGTCTCCTTGTCCTGCCACCCCCCACCGCCACCCAGCCTGGGAGAGCAGGAGGAGGAAGAGCCAGTCCAGGGTCCCTCCCTCCCCTCCCTTCCCAGGCTGGCTCCCCGGGCAGGAGGATGGAGAGCTGGGCAGAGCCGGGCAGTCCTTCCGTCCCTTCTTCCCTTCTGCTGAAGAGCTTTTGCTTTTGCAGTGCTGGGGATCGAGCCCAAGTCTCTGCATTCATTCAAGGCTGGTGCCTGACTGTGGAGCCATGTCCTTGGTGCCTTCCTGATGAATTATTATTTTGGAGGGGTGGGGGCTGGATTAAATCCCGGGGTGCTTAGGATCACTCCTGGTGGTGCTCAGAGGGCCAGGCCATGCCAGGGATTAACCCGGGGGTTGGCCAAACTACTTAAGCCCTGTACTATCTCTCCAGCCTCGAACCACCCCTCCTTTAAAAATATTTGAATTAAATGTTTTATTTTTGGCAATAAGGGTGGAACTCAAGTCTCGTGCATGCAGAGGTACACTATGTTCTAAGGCATGCACGTAATTATACACACACACACACACACACACACATCCACATGCATACACACGACACACTTTTTCCCCTGGTTTTTTTTTTGGGGGGGGGGCATGCCATCTGTGCTCAGGCTACTCTTGACTCTGCACTCAGATCGCTTCTAGTGGTATTTAGGGTGGTAGCAGCACAAAGGGGTCAGCCATATGCAAGGCAGCACCTAACCCCCTCACTCCCTGTACTATCTCTCAACCCAGTAAGTTTTTTTTTTTTTTTTTCATTTTATTGGTGCAGGGAGCAGACCTGGCGATGCTCAGTGAGTCTGGGGCCTTGCAGAGGTAAGCAAAAGCTCCACACTACTCAAGCCTCACTCCTGGCCAATCCAGGGACTCTTGTCAGGGTCCCCGACAAGTGCAAACAGGCACCACATATTTAGCAGGTGGGAAAGAGACTTATCTGGAGAATCCCAGGCACAGAGGACTGGCCTGCTCCAAAGCCTCCAATCCTGCCACCGTGACATTACCGGGCCACAAGGAAGGAGTGAACAGCCTGCCGTCCACGGTGGCAAGGGTTGCTGTGACCCCAATGCTACAGCTCCCAGAGCCTGTGTCCTGCAGGTACTAGCTCTGGCAACAGCAGGCCAGAAAGAGTGGAGAGCTGGAACCCTGGGATGGGAAGAGGATGCGTGCATGTTTATGTGTGTGTGTGCATACATATGTGTGCATGTGTATATGTACGTGTGCGCATGTGCGTGCACGTGTGTATGCAACGTGTCTGCATGTGTGCAGACATGTGTGTGTGCGCGCATGTGTGTGTAGAAGTATGTGACCTTCCACCTCAGGGAGTGGACAGGAGGGAGGGTGGTCCGCCTGATGCAGAAAGGTATGTGTGTTGGGGGGCTCTCCTTAGATGGTTTTCTGATAGCCGGTGCAGCTAGGGGAGACGTGGGGGCCAGGAACCCCAGAGCCATATCTCCTCCCTCGTGAATGGTGAAGATGGTGAGAAGACGGCCTGCATGAGAAATATGTTCCTATCAAGGAAAGACTCTTCGAGCTTTAGAGGACCACAAGCGAGGCCAAAAGCCTCTGGCAGGAGGGGCTGGAGCCACAGTACAGCGGGGAGGGCGTTTGCCTTGCACATGGCTGACCTGGTTTCTGTCCCTCGCACCCCACATGGTTCCCCAAACACCGCCAGGAATAACCCCTGAGCATCGCTAGGTGTGACCCCCAAAAAGCAATCAATCAATCAATCAATAAAAGCATCTGGCAGGCACAAGAAAGCCACGTGAGCTCTAGTGGGCGCAGCTGGGACCTGGCGATGCTCTGGGCTCTGGTTCCATCATCACAGGTTAGCTAGCAAGTCATCTGATCTCTTTGATTCTTGGCTTTTGCCATCTTGAGAACGGGGCTGACCAGACTTCCACAATGGGGCCATGGTGATGCTCAACATGGGACTACAAAGTGCTTGTGGATGCTGGCACATCCAGCCAGTGTCATCCAGTGGCTCACACACTGGGATGCTGCACGGGACGGGTGGGACCAGCAGAGACAGCCACTGTGGCTGAAATGGCACTTTACACTTGACTTTGGTGCCACTGGACAAAGCCAAGCACTGAAGAAAGCCACCAGAAAGCCAGCAATGCCAGCCTCTCCGAGTGAAGACGGCGCCCGGCTTTGTAGGAGTCTCGACTGTGCTCTGTGCCTGGGGACGGGCCACACAGCAGGGACAGAGACTTCCAGCCAGGGCTGTAGGCGGGAGGGGGGTCGGGGCACCGTGCGCTGGCGGCAGGTCTCGGGACACACGGCAGAGCTTCACCTTACCTCTGCTGGGCAGCGTCTGGTACCTGCTCTCGGGGCTCCCGAGGCCCGAGGACGGCTGGGCCACGTCCCCAACTAAGATCGCCAGCTCTGGCTCGCTCACGTAGGACCGGAGCTCCACCTGTGTGCACCATCTGCGCTGTCACCGCTGCCTGGAGCAGCCGCCCCGCCCCGCCCCGCCTTGCCCGTGTCCTCGCTGGCCCCGCCCCATCCGCCCCGGCCCCGCCCCCGCCTCCCCTCCCAGCCCCGGCCCCGCCCCTCCCAGCCCCGGCCCCGCCCCGCCCCGCCCGGGTCCCGGCCAGCGCTCACCCTCGCGTCCCCGTTGCACTGGCCCTGCTCCCGGTCGCGCTTCCTCTCGTCCGACTGCCGCTTGAGGCCCCTCACTGACGTGTGCCGGATGACAGTGGCCTCGCGGGGCAGCGGCGGCACGGCCGGGGGCTGGTCCTCGGGACTGTAGAGCTCGGGGAGCGGGGGTCTCGGGGGAGCCTCATCTTCCTGCTCGGGGAGAGAACCAGGGGCTCAGGACGAGGAGCTGAAGAGGGGGTCCCTGTGTGAGGAGGGGGTTGCCCCCGCTCTGGCTCCGTTCTCTTCTCCCACCTCCACGTACTTTTGCTATCACACACACACACACACACACACACACACACACACACACACACACACGCCTGCGGGAGCAAGCTGGAACCAGGGGTTTGGCCTCGGCAGGCTAGGACGGGACAAGGTCATGCTGCATCCGCCTGTCCCATGCGTCCAAAGCCTGCACAGTTACAAAACTGCAGCAACCGTGGTTGGTGCTTGCCTGCCTTGCACATGGCAGACCCAGGTTCGATTCCAGGAAGCGTTTAAGGTCCCCTGAGCCCCACCAGGAGTGATTCCTGAGCACAGAGCCAGGAATAACCCCTGAGCACAGCCAAGTGTGGCCCCCAAAGCAAAATAGTGCTTCTTACCTGACTTGGAAACAATGTATAGGCGGGATGAGGGACATTTGGTGAGGTCTTCCCACCCCCCCCACCCCCCCATCCTGGGTGGCAGAGACTGTGTCGCTTTGCTTGGAAGCTCATCCCAGTGTGCTCTGAGCAAACCACCGCTTCTCTGCAGATCTTCTACTCTGTCATTTTAATTTTTGTTTGTTTGTTTTATATCACACCTAGCAATGCTCAGGGGTTACTCCTGGCTCTGCACTCAGGAATTACTCCTGGTGGTGCTTGGGGGACCATATGGGATGCTGGGAATGGAACCTGGATTGGCCTTGTGCAAGGCAAGCAAACTACCCGCTGTACTACCACTCCAGCCCCAAATTTTCCTTTTCTTTTCATTTTTGGGTGACACTTGGTGGTGCTTAGGGCTTACTCTTGGCTCTGTGCTCAGGGATCACTCCTGGTGGTGTTTGTCGTATGGGATGCTGGAGATCGAACACAGCTCAGCCACGTGCAAGGCAAATGCCCTACCCACCGTGCTTTTGCTGACTTCGACCCCAAATTTTATTTTGTTTTCTAGTCCATGGCTGAGTTTGGGGGAAAGTGCATGGCCAAGTGTGCTGCACAAAGGTTCGTCAGCGTCTGCCTCAGGCAACCCTGTTCACGGTGACGTGAGAGCTGAGCAGCCAGCAGTCTGTGTGCTCTCCAAGCATCGAGGGCTCAAGCCCAACCACATCTCGGCAGGACACGTTTCCACAAGGGCCCCCAGAGAAACAGAGCAGGGCTTGTCTCTGAAGAACATGTGGAGCCAGAGGGTGGGAGGGAGGCACTTTATTATGTGCTTTTTGATATGCTTGGCTTCTCCTTTGAAATAATATCTAATTTTTTTTTCTTTTTGGGTCATACCCGGCGATGCTCAGGGGTTACTCCTGGCTCTGTGCTCCTGGCGGTGCTCAGGGGATCATATAGAATGCTGGGAATTGAACCCAGATGGGCCGCGTGCAAGGTAAACGCCCTACCCACTGCGCTATTGCTCCAGCCCCCTGAAATAATATCTAATTTTAAAGGGGGAAATAGTGTTAGATGCAAGGAATTAAGCCAGCTGAACGTAATAGAACTGTAACTACATGTAACAACGTGGACAGACTTAAGGTGCTGAAGGAAAGAGGCAAGACTTGAAAGAACGAACACAGGGCTAAGTACAGGCAGGATGGGAGCCTTCAGAGATGCAGGCACAGGTAGCAAACTTAAAACAATAACAACAAAAGCCAACAAGGGAATCCTCCACAAAGGCGAGAGTTTATCTAAGTATAGAGGAGTGGATTAAGATGTGGGCGGGAATGGTAGTACAGCTGGGAGGGCGTTTGCCTTGCATGCTGCTGAAACGGGATCCAAGCAAATGGGATCCAACCCCGGCATCCCATATGGCCCCCCAAGCACTGCCAGGAATAATTCCTGAGTGCAGAGTTAGGAATAACCCATGAGCATCGCCAGGAGTGACCCAAAATGAAAAAAAAAAATTAAAAAAAGAAAAGATGTGGGACACAATGGAATTCTATACAGTTCTAAGAAAGGATGAAATCTCGCTTCTTGTGACCACAGGGGCAGAATGAGAGGGGGGGTGGTAGGCAGCAGGAGAAAGACACATCTGGAGCCATCGCCCGTACAGGGGGTGTCTGGAGCCACAAAGGCAGTGATCAAGGAAACAAACCCTCGGACTCTGATTCCTGAACTGAGTCACCTAAGAGTGGGGAAGGGACTAGGTGGGGGGGGGGGGGGGGGCGGTGGGGGAGAAAAGGGTTACTGGTGCTCTGTGTGGTGGGGGGAGGGGAGTACGGGCGATTCTGGTATGATGATATTGTATCCTTCAAACCTAGAAACTTATATTATTAAAAATATCACCTCGGGGCTGGAGCAAAAGCACAGCAGGTAAGGCATTTGCCTTGCACGCAGCTGACCCGGGTTCTATTCCCAGCATCCCATATGGTCCCCTGAGCACCGCCAGGAGTAACCCTTGTGCATCGCTGGGTGGGACCCAAAAAAGCAAAAAAAAAAAAAAAAAAAAAAAAACCAGTCAATAATTGAAAAAAAGGGGGGTGCAGATCCTGGTCCTGCTTTGATCCCAGCACCTATGAGCACATCCAGCCCCCCACCCACCAAGACACAGCAGACTGGCCCTGTTGGTTCCTGGCATCACAGGTCCCAAATAGCACCCTATCCTCAGACCCGTGCAATAAGCTATCAGTCCAGTGGGCCAAGTACTGCCAGAGCGGCCGGGGGCCTCTGGAGAGCCCTGGGAGGCCCTTTCTCCAGGAAACCCAGGCCAAGACTGGCCCCCAGGGCCAAAAGGGCACTGGGAGGGGCCTCTGCTGACAGCTCTGTCTGTGCGCCCAGTTCTGGCTCTGGGTGTTGGTCTGACCGGCTGGTCTCTTCAATGTTACCTGTGAAACTCCACCTGGGTGATGTGTTGATGTCGGGCTGTTATGATCGGGCTCCAGGCTCCTTGCCACACTCAGGGCCAATTGGGGAGGCAAGAGGTGCCCCCTACCAGCCCTTGCGCACGCAGCTGGGCCAATGGACAGACTCAGGAGGAACTGAGCATGGGGAGGGGTTCGCCACCCACAGGCAGGAGGGCACAGGCTACGGGGCAAGGGCAGGTGTTGTGTCACTCCAGACCCTTTGCAGCACAGCAGTCAGCTCTGGCTGGGCCTCACTTTCCCCAGGTGCCCCCGGGAGGCCGGGCCAGACCGGCCTGTCTTGTTCCCCAGGCTCTGCTCAGGGCTCCCGCGGAGGGGCTCTGGCTGGCTCTTGCGGGCTGGGTTTCCCCCAGAGCTAATGCGGGGACCGAGGGGGTGGACGGTCATGGGCCGAGCGTGTGATCAGGCACCCACCCAGCCCCGCACCGTCGCAGAGACTCACGGCTTTGGGCTTGGACTTGGTGGGAGACTGCAGTGGCGACGTCACCTTCCGCAGCTGGGGCGGGTGAGGCCGATAGGGCACGTACGGCTGCAGTTGGGGGAAGAGCCGGACCTCCAGTGGGGTCCGGGCAGGGCTGGTGGGCGGGCTGGGCAGCGGGGGCGGCTTGTTCTCGGGAGCCGAGAGCGAAGGCACAGGCGGATGAGGGGACAAAGGCACCGTTTTTCTCTCTGAGGGGCATGGGGGGAAACAGAGGCACAGATGATGGCACAGAGACCCTCTCCACAGAGAACTAGGAGTAGTTTGGCATCAGGGCATCTGTCCCCACAGGCCTCCCCCCCACCCGCCACCAAGACCCTGGTTGCTAACAGCCCCCACCTGGATTCTTGACCGAGTCCACAAGGACTCTGAAGTTCTCCTTGTTTGCGCTCAGGCCCGCCAGGACGTCCTCAATCCGCCACAGGTCCTTCTGCAGCTGCGATTTCTCCTGCAGAAGAGGCGGGACGATGCCTCCTGAGTTCTGGACCAGAACCTTCTTCTCGGGAGCAGGGAAGTGGACAGAGTTGGGTGCCAGCCCCCGGGAGGGGCAGCTTCCCCCGGGAAGGCTGCTGGCACCACAGCCAATTCTGTGGCTTCATGGAACGGTGCAGACGAGGGAGATGCCAAGATGTCAAAGGCCCACCAGGCCGGCTCCCACCAACTTTGAAAAAGAATGGATGTGCTCAGGGCCAGGAGGGCACATGGTCTGCATGCAGGAGCCTTGGTAGGTTAGACCCCCTGAGAGTGCAGGGTGCCCCCCGCACTGCCAGGCATGTCTCTGCCACAGATGGCCGTTGAGTTGTCAGAGAAGATTCAGAGGAGAGCTGTTGTAAAGGTGACTAGGGTATAGGATCCCGAGACAGAGTATAGCAGACAGGGTGCTTGCCTTGTACACGGCCGACACCCAAGTTTGATCCCCGGCATCTCATAGGGTCCCCTGAGCACTGTCAGGAGTGATTCCTGAGTGCAGAACCAGGAGTAACCCCTGAGCAGCAAAGGGTGTGGCCCCCAAACAAAAATAAATAAGCAAAAAAAAAAAGCTTTCTAGATACAAAGTTACAGCTTTACAAGAGCCTTCTCAGATCAGATCACAGCATGGAAGTACTTTACACCGCCAGCTGGATGCTTATAAATGGTCAAGGTTGTAACTTCAGTTTTCTTTGCTTTTTGGGGGGGTCACACCTGGCAATGCACAGGAGTTACTCCTGGCTCTGCACTCAGGAATTACCCCGGAGGTGCTCAGGGGACCATATGGGATGCTGGGAATCGAACCTGGGTTGGCCGCGTGCAAGGCAAACGCCCTACCTGCGGTGCTATTGCTCCAGCCCCCTTCGGTTTTCTATTATTTCAGTGCAGGAGCTGCGGAAGCTTCCCGGGGCTTGGTGGCACAGACGGAAAGCAAAAGCAATGCCATGGGTGCGACGGGCTCCAGGCTGGGAGGAAATGTCACATGGAGCAGGTTCCAATCTGTGCCACATACACAGCAGGGTTCCTCTAGCTCTGAGCCATATACACAGCAGGGTTCCTCTGGGGAGTCTGTGATCTATAACACTGCACCCATTTGTTTTTTGGGGGGGCGTTCAAGGTAGGAAGTCAACCCCTGTGTTACATGCGGAATGGTTTAAACCGTGACACCATATGGTCCCCTGAGCACCATGGGAGTGACCCCTGAGCACCATGGGGTGTGGCCCCAAACAATCGCTTTCATGCAATCCAGGGCCTGTGGCATGAAAGAAAGCAAAGGCCAATACCCAAAGCTGTCTACATTGTGAATAATGAAATAAACACAAATGCAACCAAGATGCCTCCCCCTCCACCCCCAGCCTGCACACCAGCAAACACTAAAAGGATGGATATCACCGAGCTCTGGCATGCATGTGAGCATGGCTCAGTTCTCTCACTCACTGTGGGTGAAAGAGAAATGGTGCCGCTTTCTAGAGTGACTGATTGGGCAGCAGTGATCCACAGGGAAGACTGGAGCTTAGTGCAAGCCCGAAGACCACTCCAGGGAGTGTCTCGGAGACACCCCCTTGCAAATGAGCTAGAAAGGGGACCCGCATTGAGGCACCACTTACATACACAAACTCAGTACCCAGCTTAGCTGCTCATCGGAGGAGGAATGCAGAATGTGTGTGATGTACTGACTGTACAGACTATGGAATACTACACAGCGGGTAAGAGTCCATTCCTGTCATGGAGCAGAACCAAGGCTATCCATACAACTTCCTGAGTATATGGACATTATCATCATTGGTGCTGCCCCAAACAGTAGCCATCAGACTCACATGGTGTAGTGGCAATGACCCTAGTGTTTCTGAGGAAAATACTGCCAGTTAGAGTTATTTTTACTCGGTTTATGTTTAAATGCAAATTTCCACCGTATTAGACAGTAGAAACTTGGGAATGGAGGGCGATCAGTTCCTGGAAAGATTTCCAGATGATGAAAAGCAAGCTACAGGGCTGGGGAGAGAGCTCAGCAGAACGCATGCAAGCCTGGCATGTGCAAGGCCCCAAGTCTCAGCTGCATGGCCACACACACACACAAACACACACACACAGACACAGACACACAAACACACACACACCCCTGTCAGTACCACTGGGGCAGCCCTGGTACCCTTGAGCACTGATGGGGAGGCCCCTATTTTTTTCTTTAAGTTGAAATGTATAATTAAAGTTTTTTTTCTAAGATGTATTTTGTTTTCTTTCATTTTTGTTTTGGGGCCAGACCTGGTGGTGCTCAGGTCCTACTCCTGGCTCTGTGCTCAGGGATCACTCCTAGTGGGGCTCAAGGGACCATCACAGCTGTTGGGGATAGAACCTGGGTCTGCCATGTGCAAGGCAAGCACCCTCCCGACTGTACTATCTCTCCAGCTCTCCTTCTTTAAGAAAACCCAGCCTCCACCCCTATGTGAATGAAAGGATTCTGTCTCTGCAGGCACGTTAGGGAAGACAGAGCAGATGCACCAGCCAACACTGCCGCCTGCGGACTCCCCCGTCCACAGAGGGATGTGCGGGGACCAGCACAAGAGGGTGGGGCAGCTTGGCTTCTGCTGTGGGTTTGGCTTCTCTTCATTTGGCCTTGTCTGAGAGATGCATCCATGTTGTTATCTGAATAATTACCGAAATGGAAGCACAGGGTGGACAGAAGCAGTGATTCCCCACCAGGAGACAGCCCAAGGGGACCAGTGAAGATCACCTCAATGCGGGTGGGGACAGGGAATGAAACATGTGTGTGTGTGTGTGTGTGTGTGTGTGAGAGAGAGAGAGAGAGAGAGAGAGAGAGAGAGAATGGGAGAGAGAGGGAGAGTGTGTGTGAGGGGGGGAAGGGGGGAGAGGAGGGGGCAACACAGGAAGGAAACAAGGCAGAAAGGGGTCATGGTTGGAGAAGACTGAAAAACAAACACTGGTTTAAGGGATTAGCAACAAGAAATCACTTGCACGTCTTTGTCAACAATATTCATCCCATATTTTTAAGCCACTGAAAAAAAGGGTTGGGATCACAAGAGAGAAAAACAAAAGAATAGAGAAGACTCGGTGGCGCAGATGAAGGGGGCTCACTGAAATAAAACAGCACTGGGTGGGGCTCGAGACAGCTGTGGTGCACATCTGCACATGGAGCCCCAGCACAGCCTGGTCCCCCCCAAACACTATCCTGACAAAATAAAAACAAAACAGCAGCAGGGGAAGAGATGAGTTCTAGGGGACGTGATGAGGTCTGCCCCAGGCTGCAGGCCAGCGTTCCCTCCACCAGGCTCCCTGGGAACCAGCTCAAATGATGAGCCAAGGGATGGTCAGGCCCAGGAAAGAACACTCAGGATCCCCTCCTGATTCCACTCGCCGCCCCCTCCCCCCAGAAACTGTGCACACCCATCAGTCTCTGGAGATGAGCCCAGGCTAGTGCTGGTCCCCTCAGCTGTAGGCCCAGCCCCGGATCCTCCAACTCAGGGGCTCCTAACACTTATGTCTATACCCAGGCTCTGGAAGGGGACAGGCAGCTCTGCGGTAGGGTGCCAATGCAGGCAGTTCTCAACTTTTTTTCAATGTCGTTCATCTTTTTAAAAATTTTTTTTAATGAATCACCGTGGCGTACAGTTACAGACTTACAAACTTTCGTGATTATGTTTCAGTCATAAAATGATCGAGTACCCATCCCTCCACCAGTGCCCATTCTCCACCACCAATGTTCCCAGTAACCTTCCTGCCATCCCCATCCCCCACTCCCCCTGCCTCTGTGGCAGGCACATTCCCTTTTACTCTCCCTCTCCTTTTGGGTGTTATTATTTGCAATACAGGTAGTAAGCAAGCCATCATGTTTGGTCCATAGTCTACTTTCAGCACGCATCTCCCATCCCGAACGAGCCCTCCAAGTATCATGGACTTAGTGGTCCTTTCTCCATCCCAGCTGCCTTTCCCCTCAGCATATGAGGCCGGCTTCCATGCCATGGAGCGATCCTCCTGGCCCTTATTTTTACTATCCTTGAGTGTTAATCTCCCACAACGAGATGGGGAGTATCTGGGGCACCCCTGAGGTCCTTTATCTTTCCTACTATTGCAGAGGAAGCTGTTGTGAGCTGTGAAAGGGCCAGAAGGGGATTGGGGGGGAGGCCCCAAGGTGCACTAGGGACCCCAGCCAGACAGTGTCACCCTGCTGGGGGCCCCAGGGGAGCAGAGGACCTGCGGGCCCCGAGATGATGCTATTCCACAGATATAGGCATGCACCTGCCTGTCCGCAGCAACCAGAGGTGTGGGGGTGGGGGCTGTGCCCGGGGGGCCAAGAACGGTGGGTCTCCTTAGGGGCAGATTCCCCAGGTGATCAGTGAGTAGGAAGTCCCTGTCGGAAGCCCCCCAAGCGTGCAGCTCTGAGAGTAGAGAGGCGGGGTGTTAGGGAGGAGTCTGGGGTGGCCATCGGGGGAGTCCCAGTGGGGAGAGAAAGGGGTGGCACCCCCCCCCCCGTAGGGCTCCCTGTCCTCACAGGGGCAGGTAGCAGGGGATGCCGCGGCTCACCTGGAAGAAGAAGGCTCGTTTGTGCTGCTCCTGCAGCGCCTGCTTCAGCTGCTCCACGTCACTCTCCAGCCTCAGGTACTCGTTCCAGGCGTTCTCCATCTCCTGCGGGGCCACAGGCACTGAGTCCCCCCCACAAGAGGCTTCCAGGAGCCTCCCGGCCCACGAGCACCAGACAGGGGGAGGGGGGAGGGGAGCCCAGCGCATCCTGGGCAGCCTGAAGAGAGAGACCAGGGGTGGCTTCTCATCTGGGCTCTGACCTGGGCCCTCTCTCTCTGCCTTGGGGATACTCAGCTGCCACGGAACCAAATCAGAAGTGGGGATTCTGATGCCTAATGGCGCTGGGGGGTGGTGGTCACTACAGCCATCCCCAAGCTGCTGATGAGGGAGGGGCTCCCTGATGAGGTTCAGGGGGACGTTGAGCATCAGCCTGGGCGAGCAGGCTGTGTCGGGAAGTACTGCTGCTCTAATGACCCGGTCACTCTCCCCAGAAACCCCGACCACCCTCTCGGCTTCTGTTGGGGAGACCAGGGAAGCCACCCTCTCTACCAGCCGACCCCACGCACCGTGGACTCCCGGGAGAGCTCGGCCCGGATGTAGACGAGGTCCTCCTGCAGCAGCCTCTGCTGGTAGGCAACCTTCTCCAGGTGCTGCGGCTGCTCCTGGGGCTGCTTCGTCTGTCGGTGCAACACCTCCAGCGCCGACTCCAGCTGGTCCTGTGCCGGCAGACGGAGGCCAGAGGTCAGCAGGATGGCCCGGCGGCCTCCTGATGCCAGGTCGGGAACCAAGGGGACCTCGGGAGTGAACCAGGGCAAGGCCTCTGCTTCCAGGCTTTTCTTCTATTTATTGATTGATTGATTGATTGATTGCTTTTTGGGTCACAGCCAGCAATGCACAGAGGTTACTCCTAGCTCTGCACTGAGGAATTACTCCTGATGGTGCTCGGGGGACCCTATGGGATGCTGGGAATTGAACCCGGGTTGGCCGCGTGCAAGGCAGATGCCCTACTTGCTGTGCTACTGCTCCAACCCCCCACTTCCAGGCTTTAGACTGAGCAAATACCCTATGTGCCCTGCCTCAGTTTCCCTAACCAGACAGTAAGCATCAGGCCTTCCACTTCTATGGGGACTGAGCATGGGGATAAACAGACAGAACACAGGAAGCCAACTCAGTAGGCTGTGGGCAACACGTCCTTGTTATGGCCCTGTGGCATCACATCTGTCACGCTTGATGCTTGATGGGTTTTTGTTTTGGGGCCACGCCCGGCGGTGCTCGGGGCATACTCCTGGCTCTGTGCTGAGGAATCCCTCCTGGCAGGGGGCTCAGGAGCAAGTCAGGAATTGGCCAGCCCCTCGTGCCCTCTACTATCTCTCTGACCCCACTACGATGCTGCTTGATTAAAATGTAAAAGAAAAACCATTTTAATAAAGCTAATGAAATTTAATACATGCTAATAAATGAATGACATAAATTTAATGCATTTTATTACAATGTAAAGAAATAGGGTCAAAGAGACCCAATACTGTCTGCCAGCTCTCCCGACTCGCTGACCCCACAGCCCAGATCCCAGGAGGAAGGAGCTGAGCCTCTGCCTCCTAGGGCTGTGTTCACGTTCTCGGAGGCAGCCTCTTCCTGGGGGTATCCCAAACAAGGCTGAGGAGCCGTCCTTTCCCTCCCGGGGCCTCCAAAGGGGCGGAGGCGGGGGCTGGGCTTCCACCTGCTGGGGGTCGGAGCCCAGCCACCACCCAAGTCAAAACCCCAAACCATCCTGCAAACCCACATTCATTGCTCTGGATCAGTGAACACCTGCCATGTGATACTAACGCCTGAGCCTGGCCTCTGTGAACAGGAAGACCGTGTGACAACCTCCATCCCCACCCCTGCCAGCCAGCCAGCCCGCAACTCAGCCAAGCAGAGGCATACTTTGTTCTCCTTGAGAGCTCGGATCTTGTCTTCCAAGTCCTGCAGGACCCGGTCTTGTTCGCAGAAGATGCTGAGTTTGACCTAGGGGCAAGGACAGGATGGGGAGGGTCCAGCATGGAGCACACGGGGCTTGTCCTCGGAGTACGGAGTACGGTTCCCTGTGCCTCTGGCTCCAGGATGGGGAAACCCCAAGGAATTGGCCTCCCTTCCCCCGTGGGGGTCGGGGCCTCCCTGGTGCCAAGGGGCAGACTTCAGGCCCCCATCCACTCACGTCGATGTCGCTCTCAGCAATTTTCATGGGCTTCAGACTTCGCTCCTTGATCAGGTCCCGGCCTGTCATCTGGGAGAGAGAGGAACAATGTAACAGTGATCTCACACCAGGTTTCTGGAGCTGGATGAGGGCAGGAAGAGTCCCGCTGTTTGGGGTTGTGGAGGGGCAGGTGGAGGGGCGTGGAATGGCGCCCCTCCATTCTCACTGGCCTCTGCAGAGAAGGGGCACAAACCCGGGCACTCCCTGTTTTCTTTGTATGCCGAGTGCAGTTGGGGTGTGAGGGAGAAAAAGCCAAACTCTTCTGAGACCCTAGATAAATTTTTTCCCGTTAAAGCTAAGATGAAAGAAGTCCTTGTACATCTCTCCCATTAAAAAAAAAATGCAGATATTCAAGCTGGGAATAGGCAGGGCTGAGTCTGAGTTTGGTATGCATCTTAGAATATTTGTCCCTGACAAAGACTTCTGCTGCTGAGCTTGGGAAACGCTCAACAGTGGTAGGAGTTCACGTGTTCCCACCCAGGCCAGTGGGGTGGTAGCGCTGGGAAGAACAAGTCAGCCCATGCACATCGTCAAGCCTTGGTTTGCTTAAGGATGTGTGGGAGCAGTCCTGACCCCCGAGTCAGTGCACTGCCTGGCCCGACACCATTGCGGGCAGCTCATCAGGCCAAAGGAAGAGGAGCTTGGATAATTCCTGGCTGGGGTTTCGGATTGATTCTTACATAAGGGAGGTGAGGCTATACATGTCTAAGATCCCCTGTCCTCTGAAGAAACGAGATCATCAAGCAGTAGATTAAAAAAAAAAAACCAAAACCCAAAAAACAGCAACACCAAATTTGCAACCCAGTGACATTTCACAGGAGTAAACTGCACTGGTGCTGTACTGGGTGAGTGGCATCCCACAGGGGTACACCACACTCTACACTGTACTCGGCGGTCCGTGTCCTTTAGCTATGTTTGGTGCATTCACCTCCCATCACAGCTGTGAGACTCACGTGCCCACAGTCATCCCTTTGACGCACACGAGGTTTTGTGTTCAAGAAGTTTCCACCGACTAATGCATAGTTAAACTAGATTAGCTGTATTCAATGCATTTTTGACAAACGATGTCTTCAACTTATTTGGGGTGTAGAAAACGATCCTACTGTCAGTCAAGGAAGATCCACCTGGGTCAACTTCACCCTCTGAGCTCCAGGCACCATGTGCCCAGCTGTCCGACACACTCTCCCCCTGGCGACCCCATGGCAGCTATCCAAAGGCTAGGAGGGAGGAGGGAGAAGGACCTTCCAGGCCCCGGGGACTGAGCCGGGACTGAGCCGGGACTGCAGACTTGGTCCCCGGGGTCCCAGTGGAAAGAGCAGAGGCCGCGGTTCTTGTCGGCAGTAAGACTGAGCATTTTACGGACAGTCGGGAAGGCCCGTGGCAGTCGGGGATAGGGACGTCTGGGTAGGTCACTGCGGTTGTGTTCCCAGACAATGGAGAAATTCGGCCAAATTCTGCTCTCGTACCCGGCAGAGCACGTGCACGGACACGCAGACACAGTCACAGACACGCACTCCTACCACACATCACATACAAGTAGGCTGGACAAACGGCTGGACTCTCCTGCTTTGGGAGCAGGCGTGGGGCCCCCTCCGGAGCCCAGGACGACAGGAAGGCGAGTGTCTCTGCCCCTCGGCTCCTCTCCCAGGCACGGATCATCTTCAAATTGAGATACGCTTTTGGGATTATTTCCTCCCGGCAAAATTCTTCCCCTTATTTCACGGAAGCCCGCTTAAACAGCAGGGCAGAGAATCGAATCGAGGAACACCTCAATTGTCCAGCACCACCAGGAAAGGAGGGGACACAGAAAGGGTCTTTTGAGGAGGCGGACTATTTTATATTTTCTGATGGAAACTTTCCTAAAAGCATGTCCTCGTGGCCTTTCATAAAATTCCAAATATAAATTCATTATCATTTTTTCTCTCTCTTTTTTCTTTTCGGCAGTGGGATGTATGTAATCATCACGATTCAGAAGTCAGCAATACAGAATTTTTAGAAGATAGTGCTTTGGACTATTTGCTCCTAGAGAAAAGTTCTCCTAAACCTCCAGCTTTCCTTTGCAGTTGGGATTGACAACACATTATTTTCTTGAATCCAAACGGCTGAGTGTGAGGACGGGTAGTGTTGGGGAGGGGGGCTCCTTTCTCGGGGACAGGCTTGCTACCTCTCTCAGCCCCTTCCTTCCAGGGTGGATGCCCCCTTCACCTTGCATCTCCCATGCCTTGGGTCTCAGCGTGTGAGAGGAGAGTGCGACCCCTCTCCACAGACAGCCACCCAATTAGGGGTGTCCCCGAGGGGCTGAGATTATTTCCTTTGAATCTTCAGAGCACAGCCCGGGCCCAGCCTATTGAGAACACTGTGGAGATGCTTTGGGAGTCTCTGCAGGGAGCAGACGAGGTGGGCTGGCTGTGCCCAGGACCCCAGACCCGGCCACTAGCTCAGGGCAGGGTTTGTGCAGGATGGGGTTTACGAATTCAACTTTAGCTTCTCAAATCAGTTGGGTCCAGAGAGCTGAGGAGATTCTGAAATTTTCTCCTTTTGTCCATAGTACTCTAGAGCATCTAAACCCTTCCCCCTCTCCTCTGTATTTATTTATTTTTAAATAGACTTCCTTGAATACAAGTATGAGAGCAATTCTGCAGTTCCAATTCTGGAATCTCCTTATAATACACTGGGCTATTCTAATAGCTCCCCTGAGGAATGTCTTACACCCAATTTCCCCTGGATATTGCATTTGTGATAGTGCTGTTTAAAGCCACGCAAAACATGCACTCTCATCACCAGAAAAAGTGGAAGCTGCAACCCCCTCCCCAACCCCCGCCATCCATCCATTGGAAATGCATCAGCAAGCAGCCTCGGGTCACCCTGCTATCCCACCTCAGCACACCTTTCCTGGGCAGGAGAGGCTCTGACAGCACCCCCACAATACCTGCAGCCCCCTCGGAAGGCCTCGAATGCTAGCCCCTTGGGGTGACTGCTGCTGCATCCATCCAAGGGCCAGGCATATCTGTTCTACTCCCGACCCAAACTCATCCCAAGCATCATCAACACCCTGCCCAATGGACAGGCCCCGGTGGGCACCCAGTTCCTCCTTCTCTTCCTTGGTCTCCGGGAACTCCTACTTCGGCCCCAGAAACTCATGCTCAACTCCACAGACCACGCTGGTCTAGGTGGGCCCTGGCCATGGAGGCGGACAGCAAGGATGGCAACAAGCTGATGGCAGGCTAAGCGGGCCCCCTGCCCACCACCCGGCCCCTCCTCCCTGCCAGCACACAGGATGGGAATCACAGAACATCACAGATGGGAGGCACGAGCCAACGACGCTGAGGGGAGCATCACAGGAAGGAGAGAAACAGCAATGACTTGCAGGAAGCCGGGGCGGGCAGGAGAGCCCCTGGGTGAGCAAGTGATGGAGCCGCCCTGAGTCAGAAGCAATGGAATGGCCCGGCTGGGAGACAGATCCGATCATCTTACGCTTCTCCTGGGCCGACAGCCCCGTGCTGACTTCTTCAGCACTTTGTAAAGCACGTTGATCAAAGGTTCATTATTTTTTATCTGTTTCGGACGAAAGAGGCAAATAACAACAGAATGCAACAGGTGAGACATCACAGGACACGGGCAGGAGTCAGAATTTGGGGAGTGAGGGGCCAGAGAGGTAAGACATCATCAGGTAGGGCATTTGCCTTGCACGCAGCTGACCCAGGTTCGATTCCCAGCATCCCATATTGTCCCCCCGAGCACCACCCGGAGTAACTGCTGAGTGCAGAGCTAGGAGTAACCCATGAGCATCATTGGGTGTGACCTAACATCCCTCCCTCTAAAAAAAATAATAATTTGGGGAGCATGCAGAGGGAGGAAGGTTTGGAAGGCGACTACAGTGGCTGGATCTTGGGTGCCCACATCCCTTCCAGCCGTGACGCTGGGCAGATGGTGGTCCCCTGCTTGTGGAAGGGAAGATAATAACTCAGCCTGAAGGATCAGGGTACAGGCTAGCCCAAAGCCCAGTACCCACGCCATGCCTGCTGCCCTCCTGGTTCTGCCATGGTAGGTAAGAAGTAGCGCCAGAGAACTTGCTTCCTTCCTTCTCCTCCCTCTTCACCCACAGTGAGTGGAGGCCCTCACCTGCACCCCTGCTGAGTACTGCCTCTCGGTCATTCTGACCAACTCACAGCCCCTTGTGCTCACCAGTCCTGTGGGGACACAGGCCCTGCCCACAGAGGCAGTGGATCTCAACCCTTGCTGAAACACTAAAATCGTCCTGCTCTAGGATAATATCGAGCAGGCAATGGGCAGGAAGGGACAAAAAAGTAAACATACAAAAACAGAAAGGAAAATGTTGTGTACTTGATCCCGCTGCAGGAGACTCGGCTGAGATGTGTTTTCAGGGGGGTGGGGGTGGGGGGACCTGGGGGTCAGGTGTCGGAAGCCCCCACCAGGTAATCTGAATGTACCTGCAGGCAGGGTTGGCAATCATGTCTCTGGGATCAGCTTTCCAGCACACACACTCATCAGGATCATCCGAGAGACTCTTAGTCCCAGAAACCAAACCCAAGGCCCTCTGCCCTAGGAAGCCTGGATTCTGCAAGTCTGATCATTCTCAGGTATTCCTGATGGCTGCTATGGGACACAGTGTGAGAACCTCTGCCTGGAAATGATAGTTTCTCTACCAGTGAAAACTCTCAGGGAGTTTTTCCCTTAAAGAGTAATATTTAAGTACCATCAGTTAAGGGGCTGGAGCGATAGAACAGTGGGTAGGGTGCTTGTCTTGCACTCGGCCAACCCGGGTTTGATCCCAGCATCCCATATGGTCCCCTGAGCACCGCCAGGAGTAATTCCTGAGTGCACAAGCCAGGAGTAACCCCTACGCATCGCCGAGTGTGACCCAAAAAGCAAAAATAAATAAATAAATAAATGTACTATTTAGCGAGAGTCTCTAAGCAGTGGTCACTGTCCTCCCATTGTTGATCGATTTTTCTCGAGTGGGCCCAGTAACATCTCCATTGTGAGACTTTGTTGTTACTGTGTTTGGCATATCGAATACGTCACGGGGAGCTTGCCAGGCTTTGCCGTGTGGGCGAGATACTCCTGGTAGCTTGCGGGGCTCTCCAAGAGGGGCGGAGGAATCGAACTCGGGTCGGCCATGTTGGTTGTGTGCAAGGCACGCTGTACGCAGTGTATTCCTTTAAAAACTTTCCCCTGACTGACAAGTTTATAATCCTGGCTGCAGGACAACAGATTTGCAATTTTTTCTGGGTGCACAAGAATCAACTCCAATTAAAAGCTTTAAAAAAATAATAATGATAATAAATATCCACAGCAGACGGCCAGAAAGAAAGTACAGGGGTAATGTGTCTGCCTTGCGCACAGCTGACTCCATTTTGATCCCTGGCACTGCTTATAGTCCCACGAGGACAACCAGGAGTAAACCTTGAGCAGCCTAGAGAGGGGCCCACCCACCTGCACACACACAAAAAAAGAAGGAAAAGAAGCAGAATCCTTGATACCAGCTCCAGAACTCTGACTTTAATAGACCCTCCCAGGAGTTGCAATTCTTAATCAAGCTCAGGTGGTCCTGAAGGAGGTGGTGTCTGGGGCCACAACTTAAGAAACTGCTTCAGGGGGCTGAGGGAGGGGGTGGATAGGGCTAGCAGAGACCTGGGTAGGGGGAGGAGTAGAAAGAAGGGGGAGCTTGGGCAATTTGGTGGTGCTGAAGGTGCAATAACTTTGTTCATCAAAACTCTAGAAGTCACTGGGGGCTGGAGCGATGGTACAGTGGGGAGTGTGTTTGCCTTGCACATGGCCGACCCAGGTTCGATTCCCAGCATCCCATATGGTCCCCCGAGCACCGCCAGGAGTAATTCCTGAGTGCAGAGCCAGGAGTAACCCCTGTGCATTGTTGAGTGTGACCCAAAAAGCTGAAAAAAAAAAAAAACCAACCCCCCTAAAAAAAACAACTCTCCAAGTCAACCACAGTCACCATTTTTTGAACCTAAATTTAAGAAATTTTTTTATAATGCTTTGGGGAGTATGGCCATTCTGGTGGTGTTGATCTTTCTAATCCATGAGCAGGGAAATTTTTAAAAAACAATTAAAAACAAAAGGGAACTGCTCCAGAGCTGAATTTGGAGAAAATCCTGGAACACTGGCCGGGAAAGCCTTGCAGAGCCAGCTGTGAGACCCAGATGGGAGCTGATGCCCCAGTTGGATGTGAGCAGAGCAGGGAAAGCCCACCGGGTCCCCCGTACCTGGCACCCGGCCCTGTGATGGAGGCCGAGGCGGCATCCCGCCCGACCGTCCGCCATCTCCAGGCCGCTGTGGCCCCCACGTGCTACTGGGGGGGCTGAGTGTCGCTCACTGGGTTCACTGGGGGTGACACGTTTCCCCCCAGAGGTGCTCGACCCCGGGAATAATAGCATCGAGACAGGGAAAATGATCATATCAACACAGCTGACAATGTCCACAAAGTCCAGCCCCTGCATACTGGACACGGGGTACATCTAGCCACGGAGATGCCCCATGGATGTCCACTGCTTCTCTTGGGCACCTCGGGCACACTTCGAGCTGGCCCCCTTTCAGCAACTTCAAAAAATCAAAAAGCATCAAGAGGAAAGCGGCGTGTTGAGACGCAGGGAGGGAAAGGGCCTGAGAGCACGTGGCAACAGAGCTGTGGCTGCAAACTACTCTGCAGGCCTGGGGAAGCCCCTCACGGGAGTTCAGCCTCGGCCAATGCCACACCCACCCCTACTGCGGGCAGTGGGGAAGGGGGCCCCCCGTGAGATCTAAGTACCCCAGAGGCTGGTACACACCATGTCCACTGCTATTAAGCTTCTGTTGGGCGTTAGGACCTCGAGTACGCTTGGTTCTGCTTTGCTAGCCTGGGCCTCAGTCGCCCCTCCCTCCCCCAATTCTTTTAACTCAAATTCTCCAGTCTTGACTCCAGCCCCTGAGCTGGCGGGCTCTCGGTTCTGCAACCAGCTCCACGTGGCCCCTTCCCCAAGTGCCAGGGACGTGCTTCCATCACCCCTCACCACACAGACACGTTGGAGAGCTTTGGATGGGGGTACACTGGGATGCAGGCGAGCCACATGGTGCACAGTGCCTAGGCACGTGGTGCAAATACATTCGCATGAACTGCTGGTCCCGGGGTGCATGGTGCCCTAGATATGTGGTATGAACACTTTCATGTTAACTGCTGATCCTGGGGTGGCAGTTACAGGGAGAAGAATCAAATAGGGGGTCTGGGACCACCGTGCAGAAGACCAGAGTTCCATGTTGCAGAGGGGTTACGTGGAGCATGTGAGCATCCGTGGGGCGGGGGGGGGGTGTGGCCAGGCCCGGAACACTGGGTGCAGCCAAGATGGGACACCCCCGTGCCCACCACTTACATTCCTGTCTGGGGTCTGGGAAGGTGAAAGCACCCTGGATCACAGAGTACCCCTCATCCCCTATCTCAAAACTCATCACTGTCCCTTCCTTCCTGAGGTCTGAGACAGAGCCAGGAGCCTGGGCCATGTCCAGCATTCCCCACGCACCCCCCCACTCCCATCCCTATAACTTCAACCTTCCTGCACCCTGCAGCTCCCCAAGTTCCCACACGCGTCTCCTCCTCCTGAAACCTTCCTCATCCTCACTGTCTCAGCTCTGAGAAACCATGCAGGTTTCCGCACAGTTTGCTTTAGGCAGATCTGTGATGCATTGGTTTTTGTGGTTGTTGCTGTGTTTTGTTTTGTCTTTGGGTGACACCCAGCGGTGCTCAAGGGTCGCTCCTGGTGAGGCTCAGGGGACCCTATGGGGTGCTGGGGACTGAAATGGGGTCGGGCCCATGGTGTGAGGCAAGCACCCCACGGTACTAGCTGTACTATCTCTCCAGCCCAACAAATATGCGTCATTTAGGGACTTTCTTTCCCCAACCAGACCGGAAGTTTCTCTAAGCTAGAGAGAATCCCCCCCCTTTTTTTTCTTCCATCTCTGCCAAGCTTTTCCAGAGCCAGGTAATCACAGTTTAACTAGCATCTGGCCTGGGCCAGAGGAAAGCCCCACCTCCACCAGCAGCCATGGGACCTGATACACTTCACCTGCCCCGACCCAGCCAAAGACAAGACCTCAGACCTCTCCCATCAGGTGCATGGGTGGAGCCTGGTTTCCCACCCCCCTGCCGCCCCACCCACAGCTAATTAAAAGTCACATTCCTTCTCGGGTCTCATGGCTCAGGAATAAGAAATGCTTTTCACAGCAGAGCTGTGGGAAGCCCTGGGAAGCAACAAAAGGGACTGTCAGCTCCTCAGCATCTCTGTGTCCCCAGCATTCTCTGTCAGCAGAGGCATCTGGACCACTGGAAGGGCCTGGTGCTCACTCCCGAAATGAAGTGGAGATAGGGACGGGGGGTGGGACGGGGGGAGGGGGAAATGGAACACCATGAGCCCCCCCAACCCCAGAGCCCCTTCATTCCACGTGGAACTAGTATCCCCAGAAACAAAAGAAAGCAGCCGGTCAGAGTTCATGGGGCTGAAAACCAATCTGCAGGAACCAAAAAATATATAAAGGTAAAGGCCCTCCCGTTGATCGTCGATTTGCTCGAGCGGGCCCAGTAACGTCTCCATTGGAGACTTTGTTGTTACTGTGTCTGGCATATGGAATACTCTCGGTAGCTTGCCGGGCTCTCCGAGAGGGGCGGAGGAATCGAACTCGGGTCGGCCATGTTGGCCGCGTGTAAGGCGAACGCCCTACCCGCTGTGCTATCGCTCCAGCCCTAAATAAATAAAAATAAAAGAGCCTCCAAACCAAAGCCCCCGCACACCCCCCTTCGTCAGCAGCCCTGAAGAAGAAGCCTGGAGGAGTGTCTGGCCCTGGACAAGCACAGGGAGAGGAAGAGCTTGTGCCCGGGCAGCAGAGGAGAGAAATAAATCCCTGACCAACAAGGTCGAGCCCTCTTTTGGGGACCCGAACGGTTGCCGGCTTTGGGCGAGCTTTGACAGCGTGCCATGGAGGCTGAACTCCTGCCGGCACTCACCTTGAGGTCCAGGTACTCCAGGTCTTTCTTCAGCTGGAGGTAGGTATCATCAGCCTTCAGACAAAGCACAGAGACAGAGTCAGACGTGAGCCCCGAGAGGCCCCAAGAGTGCGACTTCACTTGTGAATATCTGAGACAGCCAGCACAGCGCCAGGGACAACGGACCACAGCAGGCCAGCGCAGTCAGAGCCGCAGGGCAAGGGTGCCAATGCCATTCAGGGCCCTGGACCCGCAGGGCGGAGCTACAGGTGACCTCGAGGTAACAGCCAGCTTGTGGACCGGCACGGGGCAGGGAGGGGGGAACGACGACATCTGGGATGACACAGCCATACATGCCACCAGAGCTTGGGCCAGTGGCGAGTTCCAAGCCAGAGCCGGAAAAGGACGTGCTGTCCTCAGGTGCTATCAGTCACGGGCGCTCCAGTTCCTGCCCCATCCCCAGATGGCCGTGCTGGCTTGACGTCACATGCACGAAGCAAAGAACCCCTCTCCCCAACTGTAAACAGACACCTTGGGGAGGCCAGCGGTCACCTAGTATTTGACCACCGGTGGGCCCCCAAGGTAAAAAGCGCAAACGGTGTTGGTGGTGGTGGGGAGGGGGGCGGAGACTGGCAGGAGAGGGGAGCCACAGGAAGCGGCAGAGGTTGGAAAAAGGCTGAGAACCGCTGACCCGGGTGACCCAGGGAGGTGTCCATAGAACCTGGGGAGCCCAGAGCAGGAAACCCACCGCACTGCCCTGCAGTTGCCTAGATGTTTCTGGAACCAGGCACCACTCCCCCACCCCCACCTCCTGCCATGGGGATGACAATGTGTCCATGTCAGGGTCCAATCAGTCATCCCTGTGTGTCATTTGTGACAGCAGGTAGCCCCCAAGGGCAGAGGACAGGGCCCCTCGGGTTCCCAGAGCCCCCGCTTCCCAGGGACAGAACACAGAGCAAACTGGGGGGTGGAGGCACACTGGGCAGAGGCGCTCAGGAGAAACCATGCAGGGGAGACCTGCCTGGATGACTTCTGGGACTCCTGGCAGGCCAGGGCTGGAGGGGGCGGGGGCGAACCCCATGTACAGCGCTGATATGGACACACACAGCCACGGCATGAGGCCGGAGGCAAGCGCTCTTTCTGCATGAAGGGGACCCCAGTGGCTAGCCAGGTCTCATTTCTGTCCCTATCCTGTCTCCTTCCTGTAGTTCCCCTTCCCCAGGCATCCTGGGCCCTCGACAGTCCTCCGGCAGGAAGGGCAGATCAGAGGAACATTATTTCGAAGGATGCTGATCCACACGTACGCCGAGTCACATGCTCCCTGACCTTCCCATAAACTTCCAGTCACTCTCATGGGGCAGGTTAGGAAAGGGGCCATCCCCATCCTCCTCCTCCTCCTTCGAGAAGCAGGTTCAACACCTGCTTATCTGCCCCCTGGAACGACTGGCCGCACGAAGAACAACAGTGAAGTTGCTCAGGTTGCCCAGGAGGTGCCCGCCTGCCCACACCCGAGGTGCTTCCTTCGAGCCCTGAGGTAGTCAAAAGGATCCGGCTCTCCTCACCCACCGCTCCAGCCAGGAACTCACCAGGAGGGTCCCTGGGAGAAGGGGGGAGGCGGCTTGGTGCAGACGACAGAGACTGACAGCCGCTTCTCAGCCTCCCGGGCCACGTCCACAGGGGGCGACAGGGATGGACGCCAGCCAGCACCGCCAGTGGCCCTAACCCACACAACAGGGGCAGCACCATCCCTCCCCCGTCCCACATGCAGGGGGGCCCCACCCCGGCTGCAGAGTCTGGCAGAAGCATCCAGAAGCAAGCAGGCAGGGAAGGAGACAGGAGCAGGCCAGCCCCAGAGCACAGAGTGGAGCACGGGCACAGAGGGAGAGTGAGAGAGAGAGAGACAGAGCGCACAGGGCCGCAGGTCACTCCCTGGCCCTGGGCATGCCCAGCGGCGCTGACCTGGCAGGTGGGAAAGGTCAGCTCGCGCTGCAGTAACTGGCTCACGGCGAAATTGCGCACGCTGGCCAGCTTGGCCTGGTGCCGCCGCAGCCGGCCGAGAAGCAGGGAGAGCTCCTCCAGCTGTGGGCGTGCAGACACATCGGGAGGGCGTGAGCCACCACGAGAGCACGGCGCTCGCTCAGGTGGCTCGTCACCACCCCGGGGCCGGACTGCACAGAGGTGACGCCAGCGGGCAACCCCGGCCTGAAGCTCTGCCACTGAGGCAGATAACGGACGCAGCGGGAGAGAAGAGGCTGCAGGAAGGAAAGAGCGACCAACGGGAGCAGCACAGCTTCCCCGAGGCCCTGAAGACGTGGTCAAACTCCGGAAATCAGAAACCAGGGGGAAAGGAGGTGGAGGGGGGCATGGTGGAGAGAGAAGGGGCTGCCCACTCCCCCACTCCCCTCCCTACTGCCCCCCAACAACTTCCTCTGATCTGGGGTGGGGAGTGGGCAGTGCCAACGAGGGGCCCTGAGCAAGTCGCTCCACATCTCTGGCCTCAGTTTCCCCATCTCTGAAAGGAGGATGTGGGTTGCAGTGGACTGGCTGGTGCGGGGAGGGGGTTTGGGGGGGAAAGCTGCTTACCGACTTGCCGTGTAAGCTGGGGGCGCTGACGGTGTGGGTCATGTACCCCATGGAGGGCATGGAGCGGCGGTCCACATGCAAGGAGTTCTGTGAGCGGGGACAGGAGTCACCGTGAGGAACAGACCAGGGCCAGCAGCGCCCAGTTCTGTGGTAACTCCCCCACGTTGCAGCTTTCTGAGCCTCAAGCTGGCTTTCAAACAGGGGACACGGCTGGTCCCCACCAGGCCAAAACAAGGATGTCCTATGGGATTCAGCCCCTCCGAGGGTGGCAAGGCGCACAGAGTTCATCAGAAAAAACTGGAGGGGGCCAGCACAGTGGGTAGGACGTTTGCCTTGCACGCGGCCGACCCGGGTTCGATCCCCGGCATCCAATATGATCCCCCCAGCACGACCAGGAGTAATTCCTGAGTGCAGAGCCAGGAGTAACCCCTGAGCATCACTGGGTGTGACCTCCAAAAATAAAAAAAAAAAAAGAACTGAAGGGGCAGAACAGCCTCCTGGGACTGGCTCTCCTGTAGCGAGGCAGCAAATGCCAACTTCTGTGTCTCTGTATGTTCTGTTCTGTCCTCTGGGCCACCCCCGACAGTGCTCTGGAGCTCACTCCTGATCCCAACCCAGGCATCTTGCATGCCAGGCCTGACCTCTCTCCTGTGGTCTCTGAGCAGCTGAGGCGTGCCCCTACCTCCCCAGGTCAGAAGAATGAAAGCCTGTCGTCTGCATCTGGCTTCTACCGGGCCAGCAGGAGCAGCCACCATCACTATCCCCAAGGGCTGGTATCCGTGCCGGAATCCCATAGGCTCGGCGACTCCTGCCCTGCCCACCCCCGCCCGGGTGCTGGCGCCTCCTGGGTCCTTCGGCCCCGCCTCACCTTGGTGCCCTGGCCCCGGACCTTCCTGGGCGAGTCCCCCAGGGTGCTGTCCATGCTCCTCCTCTGCTCCAGCGGCTTCACGGTGACCCTCTCGGCGGGTGTGTGTGGCCGCCGGGCCGGGGGGATGCGGGGCGGCCCTGGGGGCGGGAGGTCGGAGGGCGATGGGGGCACGGAGATGGAGCGGGGCACCTCCAGCAGGCTCCTGCTCCGGCCCTGCTCGGCGAACTCCGGGGAGCCGGCGCCCATGGGTGCCGTGGGGCTGCCGTGCCGGAACTGCTGGCGCTGCTGCCACTCGTAGAGCTGCCACACGGTGCCGTCCCGGTGCGCCCGGCGCTCCTCGCTGGACATCTTCAGGTGGCTGGCCCGGTCCTGCGCGTACTTGTAGTCGCTGGGCAGGTTGCGGGGCGGGGGCGATGAGCTCCCCGAGGGGTGCCGGCTGCTTCTGGGAAGAGTCTGGTAGCTGTCAGGGAAGGACAGGGGCTGGCTGGGGCCCTGGCGGGGGAGCGTCTGGTCCAGGGGCAGGCTGGGGAGAGAGAAGCGGGAGAAGACGGGGTGAGACAGAACCAGCCTGGGGAAATAGCCACGTCCACGCGTGGAGCCCGGTGGGCGGTGGATGAGCGGCCCGGAAAAAACCATGGAGAGGAGGTGGCTGGGTAATACCCTTGTGCCTCTTGGCTTTGCAAAGCACGTCCAGAACCGTTTCCCTGCCCACCTGTGGGTGTCTGCCCCCAGCCAGGCTGACGGGCAGCACCACGCCCCACACTGCAGCCTGCCCGCTCTCCCGCTCCTCTCCCTGCAGCAGAGAGTCAGCCTGGAAATGCCACGAACTCCCCCATCCAAGGGGCTGGAGAGAGAATGCAGTGGGGTGGCACTTGCCTTGCATGTGGCTGAGCTGGGTTCAACCCTGGCACCCCATATGGTTCCCTGAGCGCTGTCGGGAGTAATTCCTGAGAGCAGAGGTAGGAGTGACCCCTGAGCTCTGCCAGGTGTGTCCCCTCCCCTGCAAATAAGTATTCCTCTCCATCCAGCATCCTAGCGTGAAGTTTTGGGGCTTCTTCAAGGAAGCCTCTGTAGGGGGATAGAGAGATAGCACAGCAGGTAGGGCGTTTGCTTTGCACGCAGCCGACCCGGGTTCGATTCCCAGCATCCCATATGCTCCCCCGAGCACCGTCAGGAGTAATTCCTGAGTACAGAGCCAGGAGTAACCCCTGAGCATCGCCGGGTGTGACCCAAAAAGCATGCAAACAAACAAAAAACCCTGAAGCCTCTGTTTTGGGATTCTCACCTTTTCTCCTACTCTTGGACAGACCCTGTGAGCAGTTTGCTCCCCTGGACACCCGGAGGCCTTCCCGGCTGGATTCCACTCCTGCTTAGGAACACTCACTTCCCCAGCTCCAAAAACCGCTCAATGGCAAGTCGCAGGTGGAAGGAGTTCACATGGAAAGCACCTGCCACGCACGGTAAGGGCCTGGAGCAGATTCCCAGTGCCCCGGAAGGAAGAAAAGTATACTCCTCCAAAAAAATCAATGGTGCCTCATCGTTATGGAATAAAACCCAGATTCCCTCTGCCTGGCACCCCTCCCCCACCACCCCAACTCCCCTGGGCCTTGGTCTTCCCGCTTTCTCACTGAGCCTCCTATGGGGACCAGGACAGGGGAGGGTCCAGGCTGGCCTCCGCGGCACCATATCCCAGGGGAAGAGCAGACTGAGTCGGGCTGAGCTCCTTGCTCTCACATCCACCGTGTGCGGCCTGCTCGCATCGGCTCCCTTTCCCAGACACGAAGACAGGCCTGCCTCTCGCCTAAGGAGAAACGAGAAGCCCTGCAGGACTTGCCTGAGCATGGAACCCTCCGCCAGGTTGGCCCATTCTCCCTCGGGAGCACTGTTTGGGACTCCCTAACCAAAGCAGAAGAATAAAAATGATTTGGAAATGGGCACGTTCTTCTCCCTGGAGAGCGCTCTTCCCACAGTTGCCAGCAGGGGGCAGGCTTGGCCAGGGCAATCACTGGAAATCACTGGCAACCTGGCAATCACAGGTTTGGGAATTCTGGGGAGGAGCTCAGGACTTTTCCAAGGACAGCTCCCTCTGCCACACCCTGGCCAGCCCTGGCACCTGCCTTCCACCAGGCTTTGCTGCCCACCCCAAGCCTGTGCTCCTCATCTCATACTCAGAATCCCCCCAGGCCCCAGCTCCTCCCTGTTTCTGACGCCTCCCACCTTCCCACCACAGGGACCCCCTGGCTCCAGAGGCCAAGCCATGGTGGTTACAGATGGAGGGGAGGGACACAAGAGCAGTGGGGTGCAGGGTGGGGGAAGAAGAACAGGGACTGGCTGGGGCTCCCACAGCAGCTCTGCCCCTCATCACAGATCCTCATCGCTGACCCTCTAACCCAGTAGGACCCCAAAACTGGGCTCCAAGCCTCCTGCCCTCACATTCTGGCTGCAGTAATAGCCCCACCCCCTATTCCAAAGGGCACAAACCAGGATAGTCTTTTCTTTTTTTTCTTTTTCTTTCTTTCTTTTTTTTCTTTTTCTTTCTTTCTTTTTTTTTTTTTTTTTTTTTTTTTTTTTTTTGCTTTTTGGGTCATACCCAGGGATGCACAGGGGTTACTCCTGGCTCTGCATTCAGGAATTACTCCCGGCAGTGTTCAGGGGGCCATATGGGATGCTGGGAATTGAACCCGGGTCGGCTGCATGCAAGGCAAACGCCCTACTCGCTGTACTATCGCTCCAGCCCCGAACTAGGATATTCTGGGGTCATCAGTACAGAACGGTTCCTCCAATGTTTATAACCTACAATTAACACAGCCGCCATCCCTCACCCCATTTCCACACTATGCAAGGCTTTAAACTCTAGGGTCTCTCTGCCCATTCCCCAGTGTTGGGAATGAAACCAGAAACTCACATGTTCAAGGTACGTGTTCTGCCTCTGAGTTACATCCCTGGTCCCCTCACTGTAATGTCTGATTCCTGATTCTCTCTCTCCAGACTCCACCTTTTAAATGCCCCAAGTGTGTATTCCTCTCCCATTGGCGGGAAAACACAGAAGTCTAGGGTTTCAAAACATTCTGAGAATGTGATCAGACTGCAGGGCACCTCAATGTGCCCTCCTCACAGACCATCATTCCAAAGAAGCTTAGTTCCTTGATTGGTCCAGAGCAGGGCTTGGGAGCCTTGGTTCTGCCTAGGGCCTTGTGGCTATTAACAGGCAGCATCGTTCAAGGGTCCTACAGTACAGGCCGACAAGAAGCCACAGAGAAGCCCCTGTGTCCAGTCTGTCCTGTGCCGGGGCCAGACCATGTGACCCTGTGGGCTTTCCAACCAGGGTACAGAAGTTCCCAACCCTGCTCTAAACACACAGACATGAGCTGCAGTCTGATCATCCTCCTGCCAGAGTCTTGCGGGGTTAATCTAAGGAGACAACAAGAGTTGTTACTGCCACACAAAACAGGGCCTTCTCTCTTCAGATCTCCTCAACTGAAGACTTTATTTGCAAGACTTGGGCCTGACAAGACATGCCTGAAGGAACCCCGAGCTCTTTGCTTATGGAGACCGGCAGCTTCTCCTCAAGAACATAGCCCGGGACCTCCCATAAGCCCCCACTTTTATCTTTTCTGCTCATGGAGATCTGCTTCCACCCTGGGGCTGAAGTTCCTCTTACCATGTTTGCAGCCACCTCCCAGGCCAACGGACTGCTCTCATCTTCAGAGGATGCCACAGGGACCAGGAGGGAGCTGGCTCAAAGGGCTGCAGCAAATGTCTGGCATGTGGGAGCCCCAGGTCTGATCCCAACACCTCATGGGCCCCTGGTACCAGTAGGACTGATTCCTGAGTAGCACCAGGTATGCCCCCCCCAACAAAAAATAAAAAGAACGAAACCCAAAAAAACAAAACCCCAAGCAGACACTGCCGCTCTGTTTTTAGTAGGAACAGATCAAACTCCCCTCTCCGCACCTCAGGAGAGGGCAGAGCCTTCCCCTGTCCTCCTGTGCCCTGCCCTGCACTCCCAGCTGTGGCACTGGACCTTCCGGCTCTGCGTGTCTCTTCTCTGAGGACGGGCTACTGCAGAGTAAGGCAGGTCTGTGTGCTGCCAGAAAGTCCACGAGAGGTATTTCACAAGCGACTTTTAATAGCTTCTGAAAGTCCGTCCTATCGTCTGGCCACAGCGGGATCCTCAGGCATCATTTCTCAGGCCTCATCTCTCCTGCTCCTCCCAGTCTCCTGGCCTTGGACCCTTTTTGCAGTCCATGGGGCCCAGTGAGAGGTTCTGCAGAACCTGTGGTCTCAAAGATGGAGCGGCAGACCAGCAGATAATCCTGAGGTTCTGGACGCTCCTGCAGGGGTGTCCAGCCTCCTTGGAAGACGCCCCCTTGCCCAGAGCAGCCCTTCAGGGTGCCAGTCTCTCTCCGGTACTCCAGCTCTCCTTCCTCCACCTCCTTGCCGGGGCTCTTTACAGCAACTGTCTGGGCCAGCGCCAGGGTGGAGAGCTCAGAGCCGTGTTCTTGGCGTGCTGCTGTTCTTGTTCATCCTAAGGGAGAGGTTCTTCACCCTGGCTCACGTGAGCATCACCAGGAGGAGAAGGTATTTTTAAAACTCCGGATGTCCGGTCTGCAACCCAGATGGATGGAGTCGGATTTCTGGGCATGGGATCCAGGCCTCAGTGACTGTCACACCATCGACTGGTACTGCCCGGGGGGAGCTTGGAGAACACACGGAGGTTTCGATCTCCCCTCAGACTCATCAAAACCCAAAGTTCTAGAGCCAGGCCTCGCTCGATCCAATTTTGCAGCCAAGGTGAAGAGCCTCCACACTATGTGCATTGCCCTGCCAGGGCACGAGCTACTTGCCTCAGGTCAGGTTTCTCCAGCTCTTTCCACTCAAGACCCCCTCAGTGCCCGAGAAACACAACAGGGGAGAGCACCTAGGACTGTGTGTGTGTGGGGGGGGGGGGGGAAGTGTTTGATTTGCATTCTACTTTGGCTGTTGTGTGTCCAGAAACCTTTCCCTATTGCCAGTTTCTGGTGCTCCCCAACTCAGTGACATGACCCCAACGCATGGGGTTGCGAGACACAGTCTGAGAAGCGAGTTTAAGGCAACGATGTGAACATCTATCTACAAACTGAACCCACAGCCTCAGCAACTCACAGGGCGACTCCTGCCTGGCCACCCCCAGGTCGTACTGTCATTCTCAAGCGCCTTCCACTCGGCCCTGCACACCTCCTGGACATGGCCCCACATTGACACACTCCCCAGGGCCCGCCTGGATGTCAGCCTCAACCCTACCCGTGGCCCCTTCCCACCTTCCAGCCCTAGATATATCCATGTCCCAGGCCCAACAGCTACCCGGTCCCTGCACCTATGAGCCCTTCTCCTTCTCACCCTCACCATCTTCTCTGATCTTGTCGCTTTTCCTATGACCACCTTCTGCCAGGCCTTTCTCCATCACACTCCATCGCACAGTATGACACTCCATACTGTCACCAGCATAAGGAGTGGGTCTGAAACAGTCCCTAGTGCTGCTAC